TTCCAGAATATCAACACATCTCAAAACTCAACTTTTTTCAGTTCATCTTTTCAGAAAGGCAAAGGCTCAGTCAGATTTGATGAAGAATGTCTTTACACTACAATTCAGTTGGATTTACGTTTAGACTCTGACCGCTGTCCATTGGGTGAATCTCCATCCCAGCCTCAGTCCTCTCAGGAGTGTCCTGCATTTAGCTCATTTCATGCAGCCACCACCGTGTTTCACCATTGCAATGGTGGGTTCAGGGACATTTGCTGTGTTTTAGCCCAAAAAGTAAAACATTGGGCTGAATACAAAAGCATATCAAGCTTCTCAAATTTGAAAACCATGTATTGTATTTGATTTTCCGTCTCCTTACATTCAGTTAAAAGCACCCTGAAGTTTGTGAATATAATGAGACCTAATGCAAGCCCGTGTATTAATGTCTACTTGCTTTCACCACTGTTGTTTTGTTGCTTACTGTTGCAAGCTCAGCAACGTCGTTCAGTTCATCCTTGTGTGACGTCACACAGCCTGAGGTTTATGGGAGCTGGGAGTGTTTGGAGGAATAATAAACACCCTCAGACATTCAGCCATAGCAGTTCTCTCTGGTGTCTGCTCGTCTGACCCAAACCCAGGTGTCTGTTAAGTGTCTATTAACACATGCTGCCCTGGGCGGCTCCTGTGTTTAACAAGAAGCAGTGAACTGAGGCGTCAGGCGCTGCATACAGACAAAGCGTTGACGATGATGTTTATATGCTCCTCAAAGACCCGAGCAGCTCACTTCAGTTACGCCTCAGCCTGACACAAACGGCTGCAGCAGCTGGAAGCGAACGTACCTGAGGCTGGCTGAAATGTTGCCCTCACACACCTGGAAAACAGCAACACTTACGTGAGGATGCTGTTTTTGTCCACACACACAGTGTTCACCTGGATCCTGGACTTTCTCTTTAACAAACCCCAGAATGTCAAGTTGGGAAAGTACATTTCCTCCAGCCTCACTCTGAACACAGGGGTGTGTTCTTCACCCTGTCCTCTACTCTCTGTATGACTGCTCTCCTAACACAATCATAAAATCAGCTGACAACACAACCATTGTAGGACTAATTAAAGACAACAATGCCTATGGGGAGGAGGTTCAGCACCTGAAACATGGTGTGATAACAACAACCTGGACTTAAATACAAGATAATAGTTGACTTTAGGAGAATACAACTTTAATAAAACAAGTGGAAAGAGAGGAGAGGACAAGAAGAACCCCAACAGGTGACGGGGACGGCAGAGTGGGTGATTGGGACCACATGACCCCCTCAGAAACATTTACACAAACTTCAGCAGGAGGCCAAGTGGATCATAAATGACCCTTTGAACCTTTTTCCGTCCAGGAGAAGCTACAGACCCTCCAGGTTGTGTTTTTACCCACAACCAGTAAGGAGCAACAACAAGCGCTGGTCCTGAGCATTAACTGTGACTTTGTATTTGTATTTTCTGTGTACTTGTGTACTTTTGTACTTGTGTACTTTTGTGAGTGTCCTCAACAGTCTTTTCCTTCTTGTAATGTATCATGCTGCCATTAGAAGAGCCAAACTGTTATTTTATTTTTCTCTGGTTTGAATCAACATGATTCGAGCCAGAGAAATGACTCTGTGTTCCCCCTGAAAATAACACAAGTATTTCCAAAAGGCAGGGTTTTTTAATTAAAATGTGCACAAAAATGAGGTATTATTTACAGCTTTCTCAATAAACGTCTACTGTAAAAGTGCGTCATTAGAGCCATCAACCCATTCTAATAATTCCTGAGCAACTTTTTATTGTCTGTTTCAACAGGTATTTTGATGATTCACCTTTGGTGATAAGCTTGGAGGTTTTGCGTTTGGAAGGCCTTTTGCCATCACCCTCATCACTAACCTCTTGTGTCATGAGGGAGTTCCACAGGGCTCAGTTTTAGGCCCCTCCTCTTCACGCGACACCTGTTCCTACTTGGCAAATGTGGGATCCCTGTTCATTGTAAAGGAGTGTTAATCTAATAACAGGCTGCATTTATATGAATGACATTTTCCCAGAATGTTTCTCAGCTTAGCAGGTAACAAGTGGCTTAGTGGATGGGGAAAATTAGTTCTGATGAAATTCCCGGTTGTCACTGTGACGTGAAAATGTCTCTGTCGTGAAAGGTTTATGTGAATCACAAGACAAGTTTTCCCAGTTTCAAAAAGTTTTTGTTGTCATACCAGGTGAGGTAGCAGACAATATTTCTGTTTGCCGCTGTCTTGTCGACACGGGTGGAGTTTTATATTCAGGATGACACTGGACTATAGGGATGCTGCTCATTTATTTAGTGAGGAATAATGCATTTTAACCAGGCAGTAGAAGAATCTGTGAATCAGAACCCATGCTATGCTTAAAGCACCACCAAGTGTTTTTCTTTTTTGCAGCGAGCTGAAATACTCCAGCTGAACAATAAATCCTCTCTCCCCATTTTCCTCCTCCTTTCCCCCTGTTTTCAGTAATCTGTGCTGGGCGAGGGGGTGTGTTACGGTAAGCCTGGGCCCCTTTCCTTGACATTGGTTGTAAATTGATAACAGGACTTGTAGAGTTGAGTCAACAACCAAAACAATCTGGGCTGGAGAGTGGAACCCAGCGCTGCTGCCCCGGGCTGCTGGGAAGCATGCAGCACGGAAATCCTGCCCACTGCAACCGTTCCTCACTGGAAGATGTTTGTGTTGTAGAGAAACAGAAAAGCTGAGACAAATGCCTAACACTGCAAAGATATTGGTGATTTATTAGCTGGAAATGGAAGGAAAGCGTAAAGTCACTGTAAGCAGTGTTAGCGGAGAGTTTGTTGACATGGGAAATGACCATGTATGTGAAGCATGGGGTGTTAAGAAAAGAAAAGGGTGGAGACAAGTGGGGAAAACATTAAATGAGTCACTTCAGTTTATGAACGCAGCCAGCGCAGCTTGTTTTCTACTCTTTTATTCTCTCACTCCACCTTTTCTTCACGTGTAGTTCACCTTCCCAGCGCTAAGCTCTTCTTGTCCCTGAAAGAATAAAATATAAATTTCTCAACAGACTGTCACTTTCTTCCATTGCCTCTAAATCCATGGGTTTACTTCATTCACAGCCTGAGCAGACCAATTTGCACAACTTTACAACGAGCTCCAGGCTGAAAAGCTGGCAAACACACAAAGACATAGCTTCTTCACATGGGGCCACCACGGCGATGAAGGAGCGTTTTGTTGGGGCACTACAAGCCTCTGCATGTCTGCATGCATAAATGGAAATGTCGACACAAATATTTAGCACTCACATCACAGCGCTGATAAAAGCATCAGTGCAAAGTGCTTGGATCTAACCCGTCCATTTGTCTTTCTCTTCTCCCGAATGAATATTCAAACACATGCACAGCGAACAAATGAGGAGTTCAAAGTGGGTCACCAGATCTACGTACGCTGCTGTTTGCTACATGGCCTCACTTCCATAACCGAGTGAGCTTTTGCATAATGATTAATAGGTTAAAGAGGAAGTTTTACAGCTTTCACTTTGTAGACTTTACTCTATTTGCTCAAACGAGACAGCTGGGGGAATATGAGGCGGCTGCTTGTTTGCACTCAGACGGATGTTTAGCACTTCCAGAGAAAAGTGTTTGAAAAGCTTCTGGACACTTTCAGTTTTATATTTAATGCATGTTTGTTTGTGCAAAGTCACAGGGAATAAAATACTGGACATTTCTATGAGTTTGAGTTATTTAGTAAACAAAAAGCAAATAATTTGTGTTTATTAACAGCAGATCCACTGAAAGGCCACATAGTTGAGCCACAAGATAAGAGGCTTACAAAAGTATTCATATCTCATGACTTTTTCCTCAGTTTTGCTCATGAACTGCAGTCTGGCTCCGTAGAGCATGTGACTAACGGCTGTCCTGTCAACAGATTCTCTCACCTGAGCGACTGATCTCGTCAGCTCCTCCAGAGTAACAGCTCAGGTACTTCTCTGATGTCGTCTGAAAGTAACTGGTTGGGTTTTACTTTGGGCTTTCAGAGTAAAGGTGCTGTATGGCACCCCACACTTTTTCAGATTGCTATTCATCAAAAAAAAAAAAAATCGTGTATATTTTTACTTCAGCTTCACAATATTTTTTTATAAACCCAACACTACATTGATGTTTGTGGTTGTGGTGTAGCTAAATGCGATCTGGGGTATAAATATGGGTGCAAGTTTCTCTTGCATTTATTGAGTAGCAAATCAAATAAAACCTTTATTTCACAAAGTAAAGTTTTTTCTTTTTTTACGTAGATGAACACAGAGAAAACAAGAATATTATTCCCCACAGCTGGAACTGTTTCTCTGTATATCTTGTAGCAGATTTCGCGGCTGGCGACAGAAAAATAATGCAGCTTCCTCTTATCATCTCTACTTTAAAGTATATGATATCACTGCTCACCCTGAGGCAACGTTCACTGATACACCTCCTTTCTTTGAGCTGACAGGGTTGACAATGTCAGGCATGCTGGACTTGAATCACATATTCTTGCAGGGGTTTTTTTTCAACCTCTCTCCCTTTTTTTTCTTCTCTGGTTGTTTTCTGAATATTTCAGGAAATGTCAGTGCAGGGGCTGCAGTGGAGGGAGGGACTTCAGCAACTCCGCTTCAATGAAAAGCTTCTCTTTTGTGAAGCATGAATAAGGTACTTTAGAGTCTTAGCCAAGATAAGAAGCATGTCCAAAACTCTACATGCAAACCTCCATACGGCCAGGTTTTTGCAACAAATTTGCGTTTCATGCAGCTTAAATTAAAACAGAAACTCAGTGTTGATGAACAATGTTTATTCTCCGAGTTTTTAATTCCTTCACTTTATTCATTCAAATTCCTGCAGCTCACATCGTGAGAGACGCTTCTGCTTATCCATGGCGACCGTTCTTGAAGCTCTGAGGAGTTTGCATAGAAATGAGAGGTTCTTAATGAAAGGGACAACCTTGCTTGTTCCACTGCGCCAGAAAGTTTCCCCACGTGATTCCCCAGAGATCCCTCCCTCCCTCCCGGAACGCGCAGAAGGATCTCAAGGCGCACACATCTGCTGAGTGGAGCGAACGTCCAGTCCGACCTCAGCTCTGCCTTTAGGTGACTTTCCTGTGCGAAACCGGTTCTTTGAAGGACGACACATTTTTCGAGCTTGTCTGTTTGAACGCAAGCGAAGCAAACAGACTCCACGTCTTCTTCAAATGGGAATTACATGCGCGCGTAAAACTTTGGCACACTATTTCGCTCGGTGAATTTCGGAGCCCCTTTCTTTCTAGAATCATGCCGGAGCGAATAAGTATTTCGGATTTTGTCGAGCTGACAAACGAGGATTTGTCTTCGCCCGGAACTTCCAGCTTCCAGTCCAAGATGAGCGACTGCAAGAACACCGTGTCAGCCGTGGAAGAGGTAGGAACAATGGTGCGGTGGGAGGCGGTTCACCTCCGTGTTGTCTGTTTACCTGCTCGGCTTTCTTAGCGGTGCCGCTGCAGGTAATGGGCCGAACACACTCACCTGTGGACGGATTTCTGAAACGCCTTCAACATTCATACCCACTTCAAATTTCTGATCGGTTTCATCTTCCATAAACGGGTCTAAAAACAGCTAATAAGTTAGTGATCCATTCCAGAGGTAAAGCAGTGGCGTCACCAGGAGGGGGGCATTAGGGCATTTTAAATTTGCTGCTCCTCTTCGTCAGGTAGTCTTAAATGCATCATATTTTTATTTGTATGAATTTAAGAGAAAACAAATTTGAATAGAGAGGGACTTTTCTAAACTTGTTTTTTTAATGTTTGTGTCATTTTAAGTAATAATGCCACTTAGAGATATTCCTCTATAAGTTTTTAAGGCCGATACCGATTACTTTGACATGAGTATATATCCGATCTCTGATATATGTTGTTGATTTTTTTGTCTTTTTGGATGAATTTTGAAGCCAATATTGCTTTTTCTTCCTCAGGTTGGATTATAAAAATAACACAATTATAATAGGATAAATAAAAATAAATCAATGTTTGATTAAAATAAGTGACAGTAAATAAAAAATGATAAACACAGAATATAGAAAATATAACTAAATTAAATGTCGCCACAAATTAAATAAATACTGAATGTGGAAAAAAATTATCGAAAAAGAAAATTAATAAAAAAGAAAAATAATGAATGCATTTGAAGCCTTTACCTTTTTACTCTTTCATTTTTAAATCCATCCCAGTCATTTGCTGCTGTCTGAATCACCTATATATATATATATATATATATATATATATATATATATATATATATATATATATAGTTTTTCCTAATTATTATTGTAAATTTTAAACAAACAAAGTAAAACAGAATGTTAGAATGAATTGCTCCACAGTCAAAGTCAACCACATCTTAATTTAACCTCTTCTGTTAGTTTACAGAGAAATGTTATAACAACACAACAGAACAAGTTTAAAACATTTTACTGTTGGGGTAGAGGCTGCTGGGTGCTGAGACCTGCCAGTCAGAACTTATTTGGAAATAACTCCATTCTTTATAGATCTGATCCTTCCATCCCTCCATTGTCTACATGTTTCTCCTGGGAGAGTCTGGAGGTGGGGGGTGGTGCTTGTCACCAGCAGTTGGAGGGTGAGAGGTGGGAGATATCTCCAACAGGCCGCAAGTCCATCACAGGGCAACATCCGGCAGACAGACACTCATACCCCAGGGCAATTACTGGGAGCAATTCACAGGAATGTTTTTGGACAGAGGCAAACAACTGGAGGACCCAGAGAGAACCTGCACATACATGGGGAGAACACGCAAGGTCCATGCAGAAAGACCCAGGCAGGAATTTGAACCCAGGACCTTCTATGCTGCAAGGCAGCCATGCTGCTGTGCAGCATAGAAATGTCTTTTGCTAAGCAGAAGAACAACTGAAAGTAAAATGTAAGATTAATAAAAAAGCTCCCCAGATTTTATTGTAAAATATTGTTGTTTTTTTTAAACTTGCCAATAACATACATGACTCCATCATTTATTTGTACCTGCTAACATGCATCCTGCTTCTGCTGAGGATCTCTGCAGAAGAAGAGTCACACTCTGTCATGCTGTTTATCTTATAGTTTAACTTTGAAATATGAAGAAAAAACATGAAAATCAACATAAATTAGTTTTCTGTCACAAAAAAATAGTGTAATACACCTTTAGGCTCTATGGCATGAGTGGAAACGACACGGGTTCATGTGTTCTGTCATCAAGACATGATATAGATGTTTGAGGGGTTGCATGAAAATCTGCTTACTGAATAATAATGCAGAAAACCATAAAACATGATACAATTAATAATAATTAGTCAGGCCACATTATCAGCTGCTTAGTAGACATGTTAATTTCCACTTTACTTTTTGTAGAAGGTTGAGGTTACTTTTGAGCACTTCTTTAATTTCCAAGTCAGTTCTTGTTTTTGTCGCTGTAAAGATTTCCAAACAGCTGAGTTTGTCTTTCTAGTAAGAAGGGAAAAGGTGGGGGAGCTTTCTTTCAGCCATCTGACTCAAATTATGCAGAAACATGTGGGGGAAGGGCAGTACCACATCTCAGACCAGTGTTTCCCCAACCCTGGCCCTGCAGGCTCACTGGCCTGCATGTTTTAGGTGTCTCCTTGCTTCAGCCCAAGTGATTTCAGTTGACAGGTGTTTGCTGAACTGCGTTCAGCTGAACGAGTCGTAATAAAGCAGGAAACACCTAAAGCATGCAGGGCTGTGTACCTTGAGGACCAGGGCTGGGAAACACTGCCTTGGACTACAATCAGAATATTTTACTGTTCTTCATTTACTGGATGAATCAAAAACTCTCACCGTTTTGTCCTTCTAAGCACTTTGATGCACTGTTTTAAGCTTAACAAATCTCAGACAAAGCTTTATGCTTTGATGACTAAATGAGGATAAACGTGTAAATCCTCAATTTATGTCAGATTTAAAACTGCTGTCTCTTACACAGAATATTTTTCCACTTTTCTGTGCCGAAAAGTTGTAAAAACTTTTTTATAAAATGGACAGATCAGACTCTAAAGATACAAATTTGGTTTAAAAAGTTGTACATTTTGGAAACCGTATGAAGGAAAATCTTATTTTCAAATGCTAACTTTTACAAACTTGGCTATTTTTTAATAACAGTAACCAGGCCATGCTGTTCTGCTTTGTTATTGCCTCTGCCTGTTTCCCACCGTTTTTCCAATCTTACATTGTTGAGGAAAAATGGGCTGAATGTTGGTTCTCTGTAGCATTCAGTGTGGACTGACTTGCATCATCAGGACAGTAAAAGTTACATAAACTAATGTTGCCTTTCAGGAATGAACTGGACGTCCTCGATCGAGCAGGAATCAGACAAACACTGGCCACATGTCACAAAAAAGTGTCACCAGTTGACAGAGTGTTGAGCCTGTGGTTTTAATCATGCACGGCTGTGTTTGTCCTAGTTGGGAAGCATGGTGGTGAAGGCCAGTTTTTTGTTTTGTTTTGTTTTTTTTGTTTGAACTGCAGGGCTAGCTTCAGGCTTGTTTGAGGTCTCTGTGTGCAATTCTGTTTATTTGAAATGTCTCCTCCCAAAAATCCTCAGGCAAAGGAGGAAACGGAGAGAGAAGTTGCCATGAACCTTGCCAGAAAACAAATAATTCAAGTGTGCATACGCATGCACACACGCACACATACACACAAGCCCACCCTTTCTCATCTTATCACAAGACATTATAGATCATTGGGGATCTCATTAGTCACCCAGATTTTTTTTTGTTTTGTAAAAAGAGGATTTTTAATTTGTGTAGAAAATGAATTCATGTCAAGCAAAACTCCCTAAAATAATGCAGATATTCTAATAGGACTGAAGACATTTTTAAGGTTTTCCTTCGGAGTTCTTTAGAACCATAACAATGAAGCAAAGCTGGACTGGAGAATCCACTTTTTTGCAGCTGTCTGATGCATTATGCTTGGGTTTAGGTTCCTTATTTTATGGACATGATCTATTGGAAAATGCATAACAGAAATAGCTCAGTGGGGAGAGTCATGCTGGAATCCAACATGTGTGCACGCAGACACACAGATGTAAGGGCAACACACTTTTTCTAACTGGATATGGGTATAATGTTTAGTCTGCCCAAGAAGCAGAAGCTTGATTGATGACGAGGGTGAATGTGTGGGCATGTTTGTGGTTTAGGGCACAGACACTATTTACACCTCCCCCCCCCACACACACACACACACACACAATCTGGCTGCTACTTATCTGTCCTGATTAGAGGCAAAGACTCAGGGAGATCATAGCAATAAAGAAAATATGTTTTTGTCCTATAAAGAGATTGAAAAGTTTCTCTTGGGATTAAACTTCTGGCATAGAGTTCTGTATGTAATGTAGGAAATACAGGATCACATGCCAGCTACATGCAGAGTAGCTCTCAAGCAGACTTTGTAGCCTTTAAAGTTTAATCACATGAGACGGGCAGAGCTCCTTATCTGTTGCACAAAGGACTGGATTTCTGGTCAGCTTGACTTTTCTGATGCATGGAAGGAAAGCAGAGATGCACCAGTTGTGCAAACAGAGACTGGAATTGACCCAATTTCCCTTGACAACTCATAGATTGAAATATATATAAAGCAATTTCAGGTCATTGACGTCAATTAAACTGAAATCTCCCACGATTTTTGATGCACTTTTAGTTTTAATAAAGGCAGATAAAGGTTAAGGATACACACTTTATGTTTATTAGGATTTATTCGTCTCCATCAGAACAGCCTTAAATCTATGAAGTGTGTCAAAAAATATCTCCAAACTTGCACTTCCACCACCAGTCTTAAAAGTTAATGCAGAAGAAGATGGATCCATGTTTTTATGATGCGCCTGAGCGACGACGGAAAAGCTGACTAATTTTACCTGGAAACATTTTTCCTCCTTTCGTCTTTGTGTTGATAAGTCTTTGTGAATTGTTGCCTCAGTTTCCTTATTCTTAACTGGCAGAAATGACGACAGGCATGGTCGTCTGCTGCTGTAGCAGGTCTTCTTCATGGTGTTGTGCTCCCATGTGTACTAGATAAATAACATTCTGCAAAGTGAGAGGTTATTTGAGCTTTATCTGAGTCTCTGTATCGTCTTAAACCAGTCTGCTCTTCTCATCTCACAGCAGCAAGACATTTGTTATCCTCCAAACTCTACTCCTTGAGTATTTTCTATTTGTCCAGACCATTCTCCAGAGAAATGGTTATTTGAAATCCATGTAAATCAACAGCTTATGAAATACTAGTCTGGCACAAACACCTACGTCATGTTTAGTCTCGCTTACGTTCCTGTCCTCTCTGTTCTGACGTTGAACTTCAGTATACCATCTTTCCCATGTCTGGAGAGATAAATGTGATCAGTTGCTGCCATGTGATTGAACAGATTCACCTTGTGAAGTTTCTGGTGACACTGCAACGTTTCTTGGTGTCCAGCTTATGAAGCGAAGTCAGCTCAAATGAGGCAGCAGCTTTCACTAAAACTCTTTCCATTCTCCGACTGTAGCTTTCCATAAATACACCCAACATTCGCCCTTTTTGATGAATAAATCAGGGAGAGTTCTTAACTACAAAGGGCAGGGCTGGGGAAACAACAACAACAACATGCAACAAGACATGGTCTCAGTCAAATATAAATTACTGTCTCCTTTGAGCTATTTGCGGTGCCTCCTGGGTGGAGCCTCAACACGAGCTTACTGCAACAAGTGGCCTGTGTGAGGAGAATAAACTAAATAAATAGCTTCAGTCCTCATGGTTTGAATAAGGTTTACTGCTCATTTAGAGTGGAGCCAGGTAGCAACCTGCCTCTGGTCTGCTTCCAAGTACAGCCTAAACCTGAAAAGCTGCAAGTGACACAACTGCACTTGCATCATCTGGGGCTGTGAATGGCAAGCCAAGACAGTTATCTGGATAAAACCCGTCTGCCTTAGTCACACACTGTGAGAAGATCAGGCAGACACGGTTTCTCAAATGTCTCTTTGAACAATGCTCAAATTATCTTCCCAATATGTAGATTTGTCAGACAGTTGTTTGAGTAAATGTTGTTTCTGTGTGTTCCAGTGTCTGGAGACGGACAACTCAACTCTGCACAGGATGAAGAAGACGATTAAAGCAATACACACGTCTGGACTCTGTAAGCGCCTAAGCAAAGCATCCGTCACCATGGAGGAGGGGTACCATGGTCGCAGCCGCTCTTTGTGGCAATGATAGGCTGCAGCAACCCAGCATCAGTTTTACACAAACAGCAGCAAAGAATCACATCGTGGAAATCTTAACACAGCTATCTGTGGGAAATAACACTTAGCAGTGTTATTGTTTATGATTCACATAATCTTAACCTAATTGTAGTGTTTCCAACTGTGAGACATAACCAAATATGTGACTTACTTGGATTTTCCCCTTACAGACTTTAAACTGGATTTGAACTTGATCCCCGAAGACTTGGGACTTGACTTTTATTTACACATCAAAGAGTTGATCCTTGTCTTAGACTTGGTCCTCAAAACATGCAACTTGTCCTGGAGTTGTCCCTGGAAGATATGCAACCCATTTTGGACCTGTCCTTCAAAGACATACGACTGGACTTTGATTTGTCCCTCATGGTGCTGGGATTCGACTTCGACTTCCCACACAAAGACTTGAAAGATGATTTTAACTTCCATCTCAAGGATTTTAGACTTGACAAACCCTCAAAAGTATAACTGAGTTTGGACTTGCCTCATATATTATTGACTTTGCCCCCGACACACTTAACATTTGTCTTGGAGTTTCCCCTTCAAGTCTTGAAAGTTGACTTGCGGATGGAAAAAATAACTTCTCAGCAACTTTGGTAACTTGTGGCTTCACAAGTGTGAATATTAGCAGTGGACAAGTTTGAAACTAAATCTAAAATAGTATTGTAAGAAGTTTCAGTCTTCATATAACACACTCTTTGTATGAGGAAGAAGATGTCATGAAATAACATATAATTTGGCATCATTTGGCAAATTGTTATGGAAAAATTAAAGGTTCTGATTTACGTATTTAGACGTAAGAGCACTAAAGCATTGCTTGACTATGGTACTCTTTCCAAAACAAGCTAAGCATGTCTACTTAGTAGCTTGTTTTGGGATAAATGTCAGCCTCTATTATTGCGAGATAAACAGCTCAGTGCTTTGGGAAGCCTCCACATATTTCATCTTACTGCGCCAGATGAGGATGTCAGGAAGCCAAAGTGGAACCGAGCTGTTTAGAGGACAGGGACAGATACCTGGTGTGCATTCTGATGATTGTTTTTATATTAATGTGTGGTTTAGAAGTGTCTGTGTGAAAGTAAATGGCAACAATCCGCTGCTCAGTTCAGTGACCTTGAAGTCCAGCAGCCCAGGTTGCTCTCCTACTGAGAGTGCGTCATGCAGACTGTCGTCAGCGTAATTCAGCAGAAATATGTCAGATGTGAGCACTTTCTCAAAAATGTTCAAAACAACTGAGTAACGCATTCAGAAAACCGTTTTCTCTGCTTAACATCCTGCTTCCTATTTCAATCATCCAACGTTTTTTTGTTGCCAGAACCAGGCAGCTGCACTGAATTAGGCAACCCGATACAGTCAGCGGCTTTCCCGTATGTGCAGAGTAGAAGTCCATCATTACTTCCATCTTCTTCCTGTTTATCTTAGTAAGATCATATGGAGGAGTTCCGGTAATGTGATGATTGGAGGCCAATAGGAGGACTATTTATTACTTCTACATAAATAGGGTAAGTTGTGCAGCCTCCCCTCCCCCATGTGCAGGTCAGACGACCCCTTACCTCGTCACACATGCAATAACACGTTGTGAGGTACGCCTTCTTTTCATTCACATTGACTCTAAGTACACGTTTTCTTCCAGATTGCTGCGGTTTGTGACTCTGTGTGTGTTCTTGCAGACCAGTCAGTGTAGAGTTTCTCTAGTGGTATTTAACTTTTAAAGGTCGGCTGAAAAATCAGCCTCAGGCTTTTTGGTGATTCAGCTGTTTGCTTTCTGAGTTTCATGAATTTATTTATAAAATCAAAGTTTCTTGGCGTTTATGTTTGCCCTAATTTACCTATTTTATAATTCTCTATTGTTATGTTACGGTAAATGTTGACATCCTTTCTCTTTTTGGGTTAGTTAGAATAACTGTGAGGTGAAAGCCTGTTTCGCCCTAGCTGGTTTTTTTTTTGTCAGTTTTCACACTCTGTTTATAGAAATTACGTCAGCTGACAACGTCATGTCTCCTACTTCACTGAGTGCGACAGGGAATGGAAACATGCTCCTGTTGCAAAATAAAAAGCCTTTATTTTCAGCAATAAAACTATAAATGATGGTTTTATAGAGAACGTACTTCATGAAAACATTTAACAAACTTTTAATACATTTTGCTGATGCAGAGCTTTGTGTTCTTGCTTTTAGAGGAGATTTAACTCAAAGATCTGTGGTGACTTTTTTTTTAAGTTGCTCCACCTTTTTGTTGACTTTTCAGTGAAATTGCTTGGACAGAATCAACAGTTTTAATTATTACTTTGAAATTTACACATGTGCGATATGGAACATGTGCAATGCAGGTGGAAAATGTTCCATGTCTCACAGTTGGAAACACACTTGAGTTTGAACTGGGGAATGTCTGAAACAAAATGTTGGAGGAAGTCAGCCAGTAAGAATTAGAAATCCTCCCACTCAAAAACTCCCACTTGATGGTTCAGGGTAAATCCTGGAGGTACTTCCTCCCAACCAGATCTATAAAACTCAACTAGAAAGCTTTTTCTTGTCTGTTTTCAACCAGCTTATGTGTCTGTTTGGTTAATTACTGCTACAAAACCCAGAAACTTCTCCACTAATAAAATAATATATATATTTTTTTTTAACAATTACTTTGTTTTCAATTAAACTTTTCTTTAAGATGAAACATTCTGACAGACAGCATGAGTCAAACAGGTGCTCATGTTGTTTTTCATCAAGTTATTTTAGCACCTTCTCAATCGGGAAATTTTAGATGTAAAGTATGAGCTTACAAAGCCTGCTAAGAAATAACTTAGTCTTATATTAAAACATGGAGCTGCAGCAGCATAAATAAAATGTCTCTTTCCTTTCTAGGCCTCTCTAACAAAATATCAAATTGATAAAAATGTAACATCTGTTTCGCTGAGTTGTTTTTCACATTGGACAAAAGAGACGAAGAGGATAATAACAGGATCATAAATGTCTCATGTAATTGTAAACAAACATTTGCCGATGACAAACCGATTTATGCTCATAAAGATTCAAGTCTTTAATCTGCCTAAGGTCATGACCTCTGGTAAAGAGCCGTATAAACCGCAGAAACATGGATCTTTAGTTGTCTGCTGCTCTAATCTATCCCACATGTTTGTCAAAGTCTGTCTGCCATCATCAAGTTTTCTGAACTTGTAGTGCAAGTCTGAGTAATTTGTTTTTCTTTGTCTGGATCAATATTCATGCTCTGCTTGTCTGTGTCTTGTTGTTGTTGTTGTTGTTGTTTTTTAGCACACGTGGAAAACAAAGAGCAGTACATTGAGGTGATGGAGAACTTGGGGAACAGCCACCTGAGTCAGGACAACAATGAAATCTCCACAGGCTTCCTGAACTTGGCCGTTTTCACCAGAGAGGTCACGTCCCTCTTCAAAAACCTGGTGAGGGGGAGAAAGTGCAAATGGGAACTTGAACTACAACGACAATAGAGTGTTTAAGAAAGAAGACAAAACAGAGATGAAAAGAATGCTGTAACCTGAACACACACGGTGTGAGAAGAAAGGGATTTTTATTAGCTGCACCTTTTGCCTGGGACGGTCCAGAACCCTCCCACTGATCTCTCTCTGTCGCTGTGGTGTTGGTAATTTATCCCAGGCCTCTGTGTGTGAGGCGTGAGTCAGCACCAGCACACACCAAACCCTCCCACCCCCCAAAATTGTGTCAGTCAGGGCTTCTCACTGGAGACGATGCCTAACAGATGTTAAAAGTGGATCTCAATGATTCAAATGAGTGATTTAAGGCATACATTGATCGTCTGTCACTTGTTCACAGTGTTTTCCTGTGTCCGATTAAACTTGTTATGAACTTGCTTGCCTCAGCTTCTGGAAACCACCCAAAGCTTTCCTCCTGGAGTTCAGGCCGCTGTGTCAACACAGCAAGGTTAGCCCTACAGTCAACTCACGAAAGTGGCTGGACATTATTTAACTTGGGGAAGAGCAGTTCACCAGAAAAGCAACACAAGAAGCCTGTGCATGGCTACCTGGAGGTTGTAGGTGTGTAGCTATTCTAAGAACCAAAAAAAAAACAAAACAACCCAAAAACGATTTGATTTACTTCCCTGACCGGAAACTGTGGCAGCTGTTCATGAGCAGTGGCTCTCCAAGTGTCCACACCCCTTACAAAACACCAGGTTTTTGTGAAATACAAGTGATTAAAAGTATCCTCCTTTACTATGACACATATCTTGTGTTGTTCAACTGTGTAACAAACTTGTTGCGAGAAAAATATAAAAACTACAATGACCGATTTGCTACACCAACAGGATTTAGTCTTCTTGGGTAAAAGTCTTTCAGCCTACACCTTGCAAAATTTGTCCAAACGTGTTGGATGTAAAGTGGAACCACTCTTTGGTTGAATTTAGACCTTCTGTAATGTTGCACCCCTCATCTTAAGCCTTCTTGCAGAAGTTTGAAGGTTTTGGGTCTGTTGTGAATTTCATTCATGTTCTCCCCAAAACGCAACCCCAGATTATAATCATTTGTTGCAAAATTTCCCTTTGCAATAGTTTACCAAAAGATTCTAGTTGGTTTCCTCAGACTTAATTCAACATTTAGATATTCCTTCATCTATTTTTTTACATCTTTCCATTAAGCAGATTTGATTGTTATTCAGTTGAGTTGTTCATATTAACCATGGAAAAATGCAGTTTCATTTTTGTCTCTGTAGTTTGTGACTGTAAAGTGTGCCCTGTTTGGTAACCTGTTTGTTGCATTGTGATTCATTCAGTGCTAAAATATTGTGAACCTCCTAAATCTGAATTTAATTACAACCCACTCTTTACCGTTACCAAACCCCAAACTACCATCACAGTTGCATCACACGGATCCTCACATCGTTCATCGGGTGACTCACCAGTTCAAAATGAGTGCACCTCATTTTCTCGTTCCCAGAAATGCAGGCCTATTGGGAAATATAGTACATATGCTGGGTGAATTTTTGAGCATGTATAAGGGTGTGTGTGTGTGTGTGTGTGTGTGTGTGTGTGTGTGCGCGCGCGATGATCTAAACTCTCTTTAGTCATTTGCTGTTTGATTTTATCTTTTAGGTCCAAAACCTCAACAACATCATGGCGTTTCCTCTGGAAAACGTGCTGAAGTCTGAACTCCGGGACAGCAGATTAGTGAGTATGAACAGAATGACAAAAAACACTTCAGCAAAAACAACTTCTATAGTTTTTAAATGGCATTAGCAGCTACCAAGACATGAAGATATTATAATACTAAAGCTTTAAATTAATGGCAACCTTTATTAATGGATTTATTATACTTACTGTAGCTCTTTGAAACATGTTTTTATGCTATCCAAAGTAATCCTTTCAGTCTCTAGTATGTGTTAAACAGCAACACATGAGGCCTTTTTATTAAAATGATCGCAAATACAAATGTTAAATTTATTAATCTAAAAAAATCTGTTTCACTTTTTTTACTGAAATAATTCATTAGTAATATTCTAATGAGTAATATATCTGTTTTTATTCTCAAAGAGTAAAAAACAGGATGCAGTTCTTTGGAAACAAATAATTAAATTCCTTTTAAAATATTTTATTGCCTAAATGCCATGACATGGCATTCCTTTAGAGGACACTTGGATCATTTGTAATAAAGGATCTGCACATCTATAATCAACATGAGAAAAGCTCGGCCCTCTCTGCTTGACTTAACATCAACAGCAGGGTTGACATGTTGATTATTATTTTTTGGATTAACTGATTAAATGGACAGCAAAAGGTGCAAAAGCCTGAGATTTTTGTTTTTGCAGAATTTGAACCAAGTGAAGCTAAAACTATTCCTTTTCAGGAGTTTTGGGTAAAACATATTTACAGACAAAGGTGTTTTTATCTTAAATTCAAAACGTATATATTCTTGTACAGTTTGGCTTAATTACAGCTCTGAGCATGTCGTTTTTTGTTCAGCAAATGGCATGTATCTGAGTCTGTTACTAAATTACTTCAAAAATTGATTCATCACAGTTAATCTGATTAATCATTTCAGCCCTAGTCTGCATCTTTTTAATCATACCAAAAATGTAAAATTGATGCTTTTAGGGTGAAATTCTTTTGAAGAAAATGGTGCATGAAATGATATTAAGAAAAAGCATCATTTTATGATGGCCAATAGAATCAGAATGAGCTTTATTGGCAAAGATTTTGTGCACAAACAAAACATTTTTGGTAACACTTTATTTGAAGGGGGGTGAATAAGACTGTCATGACACTGTCATAAACATGACAACACATGTCATGAACATGAATAAGCCTTCATGAATATTTATGACTGTTGTCATAAAGCGTCATTCGGTAAATTATGACACTTTTAATACAAAGTTGACATTATTCAAAATGTCTTTGTTATGACAACTTGACATTAACCAAGAAATCATTACCGTTTAAACTTTACCTTAAATAACATAAAGTTACCTAATTTTTAAAGTGCAATCAGTAATACTTTTCTAGCAAATTTATATCAGTAATGATTTCTTGGTTAATGTCAAGTTGTCATAGCAAAGACATTTTGAATAATGTCAGCTTTGTATTAAAAGTGTCATAATTTACCGAATGACGCTTTATGACAACAGTCATAAATATTCATGAAGGCTTATTCATGTTCATGACATGTTATGTCATGTTTATGACAGTGTCATGACAGTCTTATTCAACCCCCTTCAAATAAAGTGTTACCACATTTTTCTTTGGTTCACTTGCACACAGAGATTAAGCTACAACTGTATAAACTTTACAGGAAATAAGATAACAGATAAAAACACCAATTTATACATAGATATATGACTATGTATACCCAATATGGTTGACCATTTATGAGGTTATTTATATATTATTTTCTTACATAAAGACAATAAATATTCTAATCTGCACAGATTATGTAAGCCTGAGTAAAGCCTGGCTCTGCCTCTGTTGCTTTCACGTGTCTTGCTCAGTATTTTTGTCCTCTTGATTCACCGTGCCAACAAGCCAGTGAGTAACAGCAGACGAATGCTTAGGTAAGCTCCCGTCCTGCCCTGTCTCTGAACAGCTGACTCCATGACTGGACTGTCACTGTGGCGGATGGCAAATTGCCACAGAAATCCTGTTCAGCAAGGCAGGTTGACGTAACAGAAGGAGTTACGTCTTGTTCTGAAACTATTCTACTCTCTTACAGGAGCTGAAGAAACACATGGAGAAGAGTTGGAAGGATTATGACATAAAATTGTAATTACACTCGTCTTTTTGCTCTCAGGCTGCAACATTCTTGATATTTACTCTGAGAAAAAACAGTTTGAATGAAAGACAAACTTTTTCAAACTTTGATCTGTCATATTGTGATTTGCTGTGCTTCATAGGAAAATGGAAGAAAAGCAATGCATATTTTATTATGAAGGTTTCTTTAATCTCCTATACTAAAAGAATGATAGTGTAACAGATTGCCTTCAAAATGTTGTAAAAATGTCAAAATTTGGAGGAGCTGCACACATTCAAAGCTCAGGTGGGAGAATCTGTTGACTGGACACTTACCAGATGCTCCAGTCAGAGCAGATAAGAGTTTGACCTTTTGGTCTAAATTCATTGAACGTATCCCCCACCGGTGGAGGCAGCATCATGCTTTGGGATGCTTTTCTACTCTAGGGACAGAGGAACTCGTCAAAGTTGAATATGAATAGAGTCACATGGAGGTCAAACCTGAGACTGGGGCTAAGCTTGACCTACTAGCAGGACAGAAACACAAACACACAGCCACAGGTTTAGATCAAGCAATGTTCATGTGTTAGAATGGGCTAGTTAAAGTCCAGACCTAAATCCAAGCAAAGATTAATGTTCACAGAAGCTGTACATCCTGTCTGAGGGAATTTGAGCTATTTTGCAAAGGAGAATGGAAACATTTCAGTTTCTGGGTCTGTAGAAAACCTGAAGTTTTAAACAGTCTGAATACAAATCCACTCCACAGCTCCTGGATTTTTATTTGCAATATAATAAAAACCATGTACCACTTTTTCCATGTTCACTACTCTGTCCTCAGTTATATAAAATCCCAGTGAAATATTGAAGTTGTGGGTTTAACTGGGGAAAATGTGACAAAGTTCAGTGACTATAAAACACATTTGAAAGCACAGAATAATATGTCGTCCGTTTGGTTATTTCCCATTACTTTGCAATAAAATAAAGCTTAATAAAGCGTGCAGCATCTGTGCTGTCGAATGTTTTCTGCTGATATAAACATGTTTTAACTTTTCTGGCTTTCCTCCAGCTTTTCAGATGACTTAGTTTAAAATGAGCCACTCTTTTACACGATGACATGTCGTCTCTTCAGAAAATAGACTTTTAAACACGTGACGGTGGTGAATGATTAAGAATGATCCTCTATTTTTGTTGCCTCAAATTCTGCTTTCTTCTTCCCTTTTTTAGAGGGAAGCTGGAGAAGGAAAGAAGGGAGAAGACGCGGCAGCTGGGGGTGAACAGGAGAGACGGATCAGACGGAGGGGAGGACATGGAGAGGGAGAGGAGGATTTTCCAGCTGCAGATGTGTGAGGTGAGAGAAGGCAGGGATCCGGGCCAGTTCAAACATTAAAACCTGGACTCTTGCTTACCTGTGGTGGCTTTTATTTATTTTTACACTGGTGGTCCGCCTTGTGGGTTGCGTTTTCCATCTGGCATTGACATTTTCCTTTCTCAGGAGTTATGTGGTACTTTGTGTTGGCCCATCAGATAAACCCCCAACAATTCAGGTTTGTGGCTGCAAAGCAACAAAATGTGAAAAAGTTTGAGATGTGAACATTTTTCAAAGATGCTGTGGGGTACATGGCTATAAACGAACCAGCTGGTGTTTCCTGTCCGACATCCTGCTGGTTTTCTCTCAGCACTTAGAGCCTCATCGGAGGAAACAGTGGGCTGCCTGCTGCAAGGAACAATTCATTAAATAGCAGGGCCAAACAGAAAGCAAAAAAATAATAGTTAAATCTCAGTATCTACTGATTTACTGTTTAGAAGCGACACTGCAGTGCAGCTTGCTGATATAAGAAGCAGGGTCATTGTAAAAAAAAGCTATTGCTTCAGCAGTCATGGGATTGTGTACTGATTATTTTTTGTTGTGATGTGGAAACGGTCCCGGCTGATATTTATTGTAATAACTTCCATATTGAAATGCTGACAGCAGTTGGTAATAAGCTGCATATGGGAAGCTAAAGCTTCATGCTGGTGATGTTCTCATTCCTTCATTCCAGAAGAATAACTTTGTGTCAGTGTAAAAGTTCCACCAATCAGGATTTTGTGGCCAGTATCTAATATTTGATTTTTCTGTAACCTTTGACCTGCTAACACCTGTTTGGACCTGTTCCACTTTCTCTATAAGGATAATAATAAACTGTTCAAAACATGTTTTACTAGCCTTCTGTTAGTGAGGGGTCATTAATTATTTACATTTAGAACCAAAGGTGACATTTGCTGTCACTTTCAAACCAAGTAGAAAAGACAAGAGAACCATTTTATGCTGTTTTTAGCTTCTCATATTAGCATTTAGCACACTTAACTTTACTGAAGTACAGTCTCCCTGTGTATTCACTGGAGATTGTTGAGCTTTTTGAAAAGGCTAGAAATATTTCCAACTTTTAGATGTTTCATGACAGGCAGACCTTAGAAGTTTGGGAGGATTCAAAGGACAGACTTTGTTGTGTTGCATTTCACACAACAAAGTGTGAAACGCAACACACTTTACTGAATTTTGGGGAAATTCAGTAAAATTTCCCCAAAATGAGGGAAATTTTACTGAAGGTGTTGGTGTGTGCTTCAGATGAGTATGTAGCTCATGTAAACGTAGCTGGAGGAAAATCCTGAGGTCTGTCATTCTGACGTAGAGCAGCTGAACACCAATAGAAGAGGCAGAGGAAATGAATTTAAATTTGAGTCTTTCCTCCTCCCTCCCTGTTCATACACACATCCAGGAAAACTGAAAGAAACAGGCATGAATAATAAACATAACAGAAAACAGATCGCTGAGCTACAGAAAGACAGATGGTTTTTCATGCTGTTTAATGACGCTCACAGTGCAGCTCTTCCAGCTTTCTGTTTCTCTGAAGCCTTTCGAATCCATTGACCTACTAAAGTGCTGTAAAATGTAACCTTTGAAGGAGCATAAAGATATATTGGAAAGAATGCAGCACTAACAACAAGAACAAAGTTGATTGTAAAGTATTTAGTCAAAACGCTCTGCGGCTCAGTTTTATGAAGCGGTTTTAAACCGAAGGTGTTTTTATGTTTTCAGTATCTGTTGAAGATCCAAGAGCTGAAGGTGCGCCAGGGACCCGATCTGCTCCAAAGCCTCATCAAATATTTCCAGGCCCAGCTCAGGTTAGTCTGTCAGCAATTATCAGTTCCATCATTTTAACTGTAGACCAGTTTTATTTAATTCATTCAAATGTTTTTACTTGCATACTAAGCTACTTTTGCAGCCGCAGCATGTGATGTTTGTTTGTTGGAAACCGAGGCATTCAGAGTCGGATCCCAGTCATGGCTCAACATGTCGCTTTCTGGTTTCAGTTTTTTTCAGGATGGGCTGAAAGCTGCAGAGAATCTCACTCCATTCATTGAGAAACTTGCTTCTTCTATTCACACGGTAAACAGAAGCTGCTTTTATCTGTCTGTCTTTTTTACATTCAGTCAGTAAAGCAGGACCTGAAACTTGGAAAAGTCCCTCCCAACTTCCTTAACTTGTAGAAATCAGGGGACTTGAACACACCGAGTTAGACACAACATGAAGTCTCTGCAGGTTGTGGGTGGTGGCCTATTTTTAGATCAGATTAAATTGCACAGTCATCTTGTTTACAGCCACACATTGATATAACCTTCTTAATCTCACTGAATTGCGACTCATAAACAGTAACCATTGTAACCTAAATAACATCCTTTTCTAGTCCTAATGACATCATGCCAGCATGTTTACATCCTATTCTCATTTCTATTATTCTGTTGAGGTTTTAATTGCCTCCATTACAGTTGGATACAAGATGGCACAGTGTCCTGCTTGTATCTGAAATCTCATTATTTTAGACTAACAGCACCTGGATTACAGATGACGTGTTTATCCGTCTCTTGTTCTCCTCACTCCTTCTCTGGAGTCTTGTGCCAGGTTGAGCAATGCACCTTTTTCTTTTGAGATCCATATCTTCTCCTGAATCCAAGGTTCAAAACCAGTCGGAGTCTCTTTTTCACCACCGTGGAGTGAACTGTTGAAAAGTGTGAACCTTCAGCAGGAAAAACAAACTCCTTGTTTTTAAAAAGTTGGTGGTCTGCCAGTCCTACATTGCTCATTTAATTACTGGAAGATAAAAACATTATCATAAAGTTTCTTGATTTTTTTAGTATTTTTAGTGAACACATTCACACTTTGCACTGCTGTCCCAGTCACACGTAGTTTCTATAGTTCCAGTAAGGTTGTTTTATGCTTCCTGTATTAAACATAAAAACAGAGCTTTGTGGCTCCAGAACATCAGACTCAGTGAAGAAGAGATGAAATCTGTGTGCGTTTCTGACAGAATGCCTCAGCAGCTCCCAGCCTCGTAAAGACGGGGCCAAGCAGACTGTTTGGGACGGGGATGGATCCATCCCACTGCCTTCCTGTGGATTTAATGTGTCTTTAATAGCCAGTATTACCGTAAACTCCAAATGACTGGAAATGCATGAGGCAGTTGCATTTTTATTTTATTAAACCTCCGGATTCAAAAGTCAGGAAGAACTAAATCCTGTCTGTGTTTCTGATGTTATCCCAGAAGAAAACGTGTGGACATGCCATACATACTGAATGACTAACCCTCAGTTTAACCAGGCCCAAAGCATCCACTCATACACTCCCTCTGCACCTTTTTCCTTCAGTTGCAATGAGTCACCCAACAGATATTCTTTGACCCCTAGAAGACAAGCAGGAAATCTTTTTTTTTAGATTTGACTTATGTTTTGTTTCACTTTCATTTTAATTCAGTTGCCACACCAACGTCTCTCTTCCCACTGGTGACGACTGCTCCTCTCCCCTCCAAGTTCAGCTTACAACATTGCACTTTGTCTGAAAGATTCCCCTATTTCCATATTTTCTTGATGCAAAACCAATTTTTCCAACCACTGGTTTCCAGTCTGCAGAGATGTAGCTTTATACTGCTTCCAGGGAAAGTCACCAGAAAACGGCTGCTAGCAGCGGCACTGGGAGTGTTGGATGTTTTTCTGGTTCTCTGTGGGCAGAAGCAGAACACTGACCTGTTCAGACATGCCAGATCTCAGCCTCGAGAAGGAAGTAAAAAATCAAAAAAACTATTATGGTTCCCAGGAAGAAAATGCAAAAAAAGACCTTGCTAACCCAAATACTTTCTTAAAGGAAAAAGCCTTTTTTTTTAAAAAAAATAAGTATTAAGACCCAGTCTGCAACATTTCATGCCATTTCAAAAAGTTCTAATTTAACCTCTACCACTATGATGATAAAAATACAGATTATCTAATGAACCACCTAATGTTAATGTTATTTTGCATTTCTCAGGTTGAGTAAAACACTTTTATGTGTTGCAGATACGCCTGGAGCAGGACGAGGAGGTAAAAAAACTCCTTCAGCTGAGGGATTCTCTCAGGTTACTTCTGCAGGTCGAGGGCAAAGAGGTAAGCCGAGTTCGGATTTGCTTTATTCAGTTCTTTGATACTGAAATGAATGTCTTCTGTCAGGTCAGGATGAGCAGATGAACAAATAAAACACTGAATAAATGAAAGGAGAAAAAACATGATTACAAATAACCGTTACTACTCAGGTAACGGTTATTGGCAGGCAAATTGAAGCATGCAAATTACCACAGAGTTACAGTTAAAATACCATCCTGATTCAAAGAAATTCACAACTGTGGATGAATATTTAATTGTTATATATATATATATATATATATATATATATATATATATATATATATATATATAAATGTTCATGTATATTTATGCACATAAAAACAACAGTTGACCATTACAAGAAATGGAAAAACTACAACTATAATGGGAGGGATGTAAACACTTTTGTCCAGCATCTTATCCCGTACACTTCATTTCAAACTGCATTTAAAGGAATTACATTGTAAATGGCCAATTTCAAGTAAATTATATGATTATAGTTAACATCCAATAAGAATGTGTTCTGGACTTATCTTTTTCCTAGCAGCCAAATAAACAAACAAAAATTTAAATGAAAATAAAAACACAATCCTCACCAAATGAGTTAAATCTAATGTTGCAAATGCAAAGTTATTAGTTAACAACAGGAAAAAAATCTAAGTATTTAGTTTTTTTTTATTTTTATGAAATGTCCATTTTAAAGTGGATAACAGACTTTGAAAATGTTGAGCAGATTAAATAAAATAAATATGATGCTCTGTATAGTTAATTGTATCATCAACATAGAAGCAAACTAGGCCATTTGCAAAATTATTTAAATACTTTAAATGGAAAAAAAAAGAAGTATTTGAGGAACACCCTCAAATACTTTGTTTTAATTTGACTTATTTACACAAATTCACATCGCATACTGCTGACCTGGTGCAAAATATAAGAACTCTAACTACGCTGCACACGTTAGATGCCTTAACCACCAATTGGTTTAACGTTTTTACTGAAGTTCTTAAACTGTCTTCGTATCCCAGGAGTATCTGAACCGGAAGAATTCTGGGAATGGCTACAGCATCCACCAGCCACAAGGAAACAAGAAATATGGGACTGAGAAATCTGGCTTCCTTCAAAAGAAGAGCGACGGGTACATGAACTCATCAGGGTTCAATAAATAATCGATTTTTATTAGGGTTGCACATACAGTTTTTGTCAGAAGTTCACATCTATTCTCCATGGGCTTGAATACCAAGATAAATTTGAGCTTAGTGCAGCTATCTAACCAACCTGACCCTGATCTGGCTTTTCATGATTCTTAATTCATTAACTGGGTTGGTACTTTTGATCATGGGTCTCTCGAATCAATTTGTTTTAAAGCTGTAAATGCAACTTAAAACAATTAGAGGATTTTTGAGCCTGTTAAAGAGGGAGAGGGGCGAAGTCGAGCTTTGTCTGGACCATGTGGTTTTTGTTATTATGGGATGAAGAGTCCAGCAGGGGCCCCTCCTTTGGAGTTTATTGGCAAACAAGCAGATCCAACTTTTGGAGCATTTACACACACACACACACACACATATAATACACACCCAGCTAGATTACCCTGAGATAGGAGAGAGGATGTGGTTCAGTTGGATAAATGACAGACCAGAGGAGAATAAAACCTCCTGAGTTGACGAAAACAGGAATGAAGTTATAAAATCTGATAACACTTTGTTTAGATCTACCCAAACCAGAGGTACAGGTTGGCTCAGGATCTCGCAGTGCTGTTCACCACAAATCACACCTACTAGTAACATTAGATCACTGATAAAACACCTTTTTTTTTTTTTTTTTTACACTCTTAACCGTCTAGGATCAGGAAAGTTTGGCAGAGGAGGAAATGTGGAGTCAAATTTGGATACTTGACTATTTCCCACAGTACGGTGAGGAATAAAAGAGTTCACTTTGTTCATTCAAATGAGAAAATGAAGCTTAAGTCAAAGCCTGATGAAACTTTGTTTTCATTCAGATCAATCGACCTCCAGCCAAACTGAACCTTCTGACCTGTCAGGTGCGGCCCAACCCGGAGGACCGGAGGACATTTGATTTGGTTACTCGTATGTTTATTTTTGCCTAAAATGTATCATTAAAATATGAAATGAAATCTAAATGGGTTGGAACTCATTTTTATGGAGCTTCCAACAAGTTTACCAGCTGTTTGACTTTTTATTTTTTATTTATTCCAGATAATCGGACTTATCACTTCCAAGCAGACGATGAGCAGGAATGTCTGATGTAAGTGTCAAAGCCTCTGTGGGATACAGCTTAATGTTATTCAGTTCTTATCTTATATTTTACTACCTTAGAAACAAGTTGTGACAAGTGAAGGAAGGCTCTTAAATATAAAGCTCAGGTTTGTGTAAGGAGGATGTTTTGCAGACTTCACTCTGGAAACATTTCTGCCCTGAACTGGATAAGTTAAAACAGAAAGTGTGGGTGATTTTTACATTTTTCCCCATACATAATAGCTAACTAAGATGTTTTTTTGACAAAACATTAGGAAGCATGCCAGCTATTGCATTATGGGAAGACAAGCATGGACACTATTCCACTTCTTTCAAATATGTCTTCACAGCACCGTCTGGGCTTTCTCCCATTCACTTGGATTCTTCCAATAGATTTTCCACTAGGCCAAACAGAGAACAGACGGAGTTGTGAATGATGACGTGGCTTTTCTGCTCCATTTTACAATTACTGTCTGCCTTTAGTTGTAGCAACGACAGCAGAGGAAGTGAACAAAGTCATTCAGTCCATTTCAGCCACACTTCCAAATATTGAATTAATTCGTTCGGATTGGTATTTCTCTCTTTGCAGTGCAGGATGGGCCTCCAAGGATCAAAGTCTGCCTTGTGACTTTTAGGATCATGTTCCATGGCAGACAGAGGTTAAATGTTTAAAAGCATTAGGCAGAGCATCTTTTGTGTGTTTGACCGTCCTGTTATCTTTTGACATCTGTTTAAGGTTAGCTGAATGAAAGAACAACCATTATGTCCTTTATTCTAAATAACTTTTTTCGCCTTTTGTGCTTCCTCTGACTTAATCTTTGACCAACTTTTTCTTCAGTAGCAACTTCCACACCGAGGAGTCTTGTTTGCTAGCACAACAGTTTAGTGCTTGAGCTTATTGAGTTTCTGGCAGGCCAATCCTGTAACTTCACAGTATATCTCTTGTTAAAATGATGCTTGAAAGCAAAATCTTACCTTTTTATAGCTCAGAATAAGTGAAGCATACAGTGTACTGGCTGGGAGGTTCACTGGTCCCAGCTGGTTCTGGGTGGGACGTGCTTAGTGAGGAATCTGAGTGTGTTCTGATGTGGTTTTGGATGGGGGTGTGTAAATGTCCCCTGCTTTTCCCTGGTCTATGGGCCTCTTGACAGGTTCTTTTTTTCTGTGGGGTCAAAGAGAGATGAAAACAGTTTGTAGCAAAGACGTTGTGAAGCTCACAAAGTTGCAGATGTGGCTCAGTATGGGTCTTGTTACTAATAAAGCTGAGAAAGTAAAAGTGGTGCTGACTGATCAGTAAATGAACTGCAAACACATGCGCAACACGCGCTGTAAAACATCTGATGTTTTGGACACAGAGCTTTCCCACTGTCTCACTGCGAAACGTGGCATTTCCTAAAGGTTTGTGTGGGTTTTGCTTTCAGCTGGGTGTCCGTGCTGCAGAACAGTAAGGAGCAGGCCCTGAACACGGCGCTGGGAGGAGATCAGCTCCACGTGCAGGACAGTGGCCTGCAGGAACTTTCACAGTCCATCATCGCAGATCTGCGACAGATGCCAGGAAACGAGGCGTGTGCAGACTGCGGGGCGCCAGGTCAGCTGGTCCCTCATCAAAAATATTTTAATGGTTCATTGTTTTATTTATTTGTTTTGTGCAAGCTTCTTTAATCCCAATATTTGTTGTTTTTATTTGCAGAATAACTATTTGTGTGTTGGTTTTTGAAAGAAAATATCTAAAAAAAAAATTGGGATATATTAGATAAAAAATAATTTATTATTTAGATTCAAAATATGAAATTCATTTTTCAACTCAAAAATGGTGCAGACATGTTTCCCTTAAGCACTGGCCTCTTATGCACAGGACACAACTTGTCTTTTTTTTTTTACATGAAAATCTTAGCAGATTTTTTAAAATCTTCCTAGAAAACATTTTTTGAAGAAATAATGACTCCCTAATTCCTTCTAGATGGACCAAAAAAAATCACGAAATATTTTTGGTCTCCATGGCCAAATGTTTGGACCCACTGGGTTACATCTAATGCCTGCAGTTTTAATTGAGGTGCTTTCCTGTTCTGCATCAGACCCAACATGGCTGTCCACCAACCTGGGCATCCTGACATGCATTGAATGCTCTGGCATCCACAGAGATCTGGGAGTCCATTACTCCAGGATTCAGTCGCTCACTCTGGATCTGCTCAGCACCTCAGAGTTACTGGTACTAGAAAAACTCACCTCAGCATATTATAATCTACACTTGTTGATTGTCCAGATCAAAACATTAAATACCAGCGTTTCCCTTCATTTTGCTCCTTTGTGATTTTTCCCTGTGTTTCCTCAGTTGGCCGTCAGCATCGGCAACACCAGGTTTAATGACATCATGGAGGCAGGGCTCCCCAATGACTCTGTCAAACCGTTACCACAGAGTGACATGTGAGTTCCTGATGCATATGCAGTCAAACATCTGACTGGTATAAAGTCACGTCCTTCATGAGTCTCCCTCACCGTACAGGAATGCCAGGAAGGAGTACATAGTGGCAAAGTATGCCGAACGTCGGTACGTCCTCCGCAGGGAAGAGTCAGATCCGGGTCGCCTGTACGACGCGGTGAGGAGCCGGGACCTTGTTTCGCTTCTGCAGCTCTATGCCGAGGGAACAGACCTGGCCAAGCCGCTGGTGCTCCCTGAAGGACAGGTGAAGGTCATTTATTGTTCCTGGGAGAGTAGGGGAGTCCAACTCATTTTCATTTTGGGTCACATCGAGTTCATGATTGTTCACAAGGGCCGGTTGTGTCAGAATATATCGATAAAATACTATTTGAACACATAAGTTACCTTGAAGAGTCTATTTATGCCTCTGTCTGGAGTCTAGAGGGCCACACCAGAAGCTATGGCGGGCTGGACTTGGCCCCTGAGCCTCGAGTTTAACACGCATCTCACATTCTTGTCATGAAGCCAAAATGTCTTGCGTTTGATATAAATGAACAAAAAGTTGGTAGACCAGGTAACCCGGTTTGTTTCAGAAAGTTTGTGCTTCTTTTTCTTTATAACTGGTGTTGAAATTGAAGGGAAATCGAATTCCCTCACATATAACGTCGTAAAAAAGTGAGTCAAGTTTTGGGAAACTTTGTAATGGTTTTTCAAACGCCTCCCCTCTCTTTTAGCCTCTAATCCACATTTTTCCTTCCTCATGTCTTCATCTATTATTTCCTCTGCCATCCCCCACTCTGTCTCTTCTTCTTCTCTTTAATCACGCTCTAAACTTCTCAGGCGCTTCCTGGCTGGCTGTAGCAGCATGTGGAGTGTGATTTACTTTGTGGTTGTGAGAGGTTGTTTGTTTGTGTTGGTTGGCTTGCTTTTATTGTTTCAGCTTGTAGGTCAAAGCTTGTGTCTCTGGAGAGAAAATGAGACGAGCTTATTGAATTGGGGAGGCAATGCTGCCACTCCTTTTGCTATTCTTGTAAACAGATGAAACTGCAGGAGAGTTTTCACTTTTTAGCATGAAAATACAAGAGTTGCTGCAAAATCAAGCTCTAATTTAAGCTTCATTGGGAGAATATCTGGATCAGTGGTGCAGCTAAACCAGACTGGGCAGAAAAAAGCATGTAAATATACAGTCGGGGTGAAAAGTTTACTGGCCGCTTCAGTTTTTATGGGAGTAGTTTGCATTGAGTCTGAATTTTTCAAATAAACCAAAATCTATTTTAGTGATCTTATGGTCAGATCAGGGGAAAATGTTACAAAAAATGTGGCAGGTGCAGTAATATCACTTTTTAGTAAACACAACTACCTCTAAAACCATTATTTTATGATTGATTTTTATCAAATATGCTTTGCAAGCATAAAATATCTAAATTTAAAAAATCCAGAACATCATGGAGAGAAGATTAAACTGTTGTAAATGAAGCAGGGGCTTCTGTGAAGAACCATTACTGAACCAGAGCCGTTTCCTTCCTCCTGCAGGGAGTCAGAGAAACGGCTCTTCACCTCTCCGTTCGTCTGGAGGAGAGAAGCTCTCTGGCGCTGGTGGACTTCCTCTGTCAGAACAGGTCAGACCCAGATACGGATCCATTCTCTGTTGCTCACAGATGCTGTCAAAGCAGTGAGGTGAAGCTTAGGACCGTCTGTGTGTTTGGCTTGTTTATCATGCAGCAACTGTCTGGAGAAGAAAACAACAGAAGGGAACACGGCTCTTCACTACAGCGTCCTGCACCACAATCCTGAATCACTCAAGCTGCTTCTCAAAGCAAAGGCTTCTATTCATGCAGGTACATGTCACTGGACTGCAGGACCTCCTGGCGTTTTCATGGCCCCTGAACTTTCTCACATTTCTCACATTACAACGATGAACTGTGATGGCTTTTCTGACCGTTACGAAGTCGGATAAAAGAAGACATGGTTTTCAATTTTTGTTTTCTTTTCACATTTAGTCTGACATGCTCACCCAGTCTTTACAAAAGATCAAGCTCAGTTAGATGGGATGTGAAAATCAGTTTTCAAGACACAGAGACTCAATTGGATTTAGATCTGGACTTTGACTTGACCATCCTAATCTACAGCATTCCGACTTGGTGTTTGTTTAGGCTCTTTGTCCAGATCGAAGGTGACCCTCCTTCCCAGTCACACAACTTTTGCAGCTTCTAACAGGTTTTCATCCAAGATTACTTTGTGTTTTGCCCCATCATTTTCCAATCGATCCAATTTGTTAGATAAATCATTGAACAAAGCTCTGTGAATTGTTACAAGCTTGTGTTATTGTTTTATAACTTAACCCTGTTTTAAACTTTACAACTTCCTCCTGACTTTTCCTCTGGTAAGTTTTATGGGACAAAATGTGAAAAAAATCAGAGGTATTGATGCTTTTGCAAGGCACTTTACTAATAGCCTTCTGTTACCATAAGGGAGGAGTAAAACTCATGTACTTACTGTTGTTTTCTATGTAGTGAACTCAAGCGGAGAAACGGCTCTAGACATCGCAAAGAGGCTGCAGTACACTCACTGCATTGAGCTGGTGAGTGCACACTTCCATCTTTAAAGATTTTAATAAAATGCTAACAGAACGTCGATTCTCCATAGTGAGCTCAAGTTACAGCATTAAAATACCTACCAGAAAGCGAAGAGTGAAACCAAAAAGCACAACATCCACAGCTGGAAACCCTGCCTTAAGAAAACTCCCCAGCAGGCCCCAGTGTACATCATTTATAAACCGCTTTTATTTTCTTACCGGCCATCAGCCCCCACTGAATCAGGCTTAGCTTCTGTCACATCCTGCCTGATGTGAATAACCTTGGATTACAGGATGTAGAAACAACTGAATGTTAAAAAATGTTTTTTCCCCCATACATGCAAAAAAATGGTTTCCTTTAGTTTGTGTTAGCTTAATAGTTGAGCTTGATATGAACAGAAAGCCTCCATTTGGAGGTTTTCTAGTTACATCCTAAGGGATGAAGACTCCAGATCAGAACCAGAACATGCAGGAGGGACTTCACAGCTGACCTGGGAACAGCTTTGAGTCATCCAGGAGAAACTAAAGAGTGTGACCCGAGAGCAGGTCTCCTTTAAAAAACTGAACCAGAGCAATGAGTTCAGTTTTCTAAAGGAGTTTGTGCTACAGAGCCCCCTAGAGGCCAGCGGGGAAATATTTTCTTTTACGTTAGTCCGCAGTAGTATTGCAGATGTCTATTTAATATCTACATAAAGATCATCAGTGAAATTTTTTGGCACAAAAAACTGGTTGATATCTCACAAACAAGAGACATACATGGGAAAACCTTAAACTTTCAGTGTTCAAGATGAAACTACTAAAAACTAGTAAATACATTATTGTGAGGTAACGCAAAGGGGGGGGGGGGAAATCCCGTTTCCCCTAGAGGCCTCCGTAGAATTGATCGTTTCCTTGCAGAATGTCTTTTCTGTTCTGCTAATGCATGTGTGTGTTTCTTCAGTTGGAGCTGGCCCAAAGTGGGAAGTTCAACTCTCAGATCCATGTGGAGTACATGTGGGAGAGTCAGTCTCAGGAGTTCTATGACAGCGAGGATGACCTGGATGAGAGAGTAAATACACACACACACACACGCACACACACACACACACACACACACACATACACACAAATACTGAGTTACTGAGCTTGACTCTTAGCCAAAGAAGATTCTAGAACGGTGGAGATTTTTATAGCATTCTCTTTCCATCTACCTCCAGGTGAGTCCGTTACCCAAAAACCGCTCTCCTCCATCAAACGGAGGTGGTGGATCTGCCTTTGCCCAGTGGACAGCCAGCAATGGCACAAGTCCAGGTATCAGGCCCTGTCAGACCTATGAGAATCTGGACTTCCTGTACAAGAATCCTCCTGCCAACAGCGCCCCCCCTGGAGCATCTCTGCCACCACCGCTGCCAGCCAAATCAGTCCTAAGAGGTAAGTCACTGTAGCTGCGTTTCCATTGACCAGAAACTTCCTCAAATTGAAATTTCAAAAATAAATTTGTTTAATGGAAACACGCCAATTAAAAAAAAAAACACACACATTTTTTTGATAAAGATTTTTGTGCTTGGATGAGGCGGTTTTTCTGAGATATCAAAATGGATGTATTTCACAAAACTGCAACCAGCGGAAAATACGAAGAAGACAACAGGAAGTAGTTGGAGGATTATGTTTCAGGATGTTTCTTAATGACTTATCGAATTAATAAATGCATTCACATGTTAATTGCAATTCTTATTTAATATAAACGTCACAATTCCAAAATGGCTTCTTTTTTTTCGCTGGCTAAACATCAACAAAGTTTTGCACACATTTGTAATGGAAACTTAGTTGTTGCCAACTATTTTACTGCAACGCCTCAATACAAGATCAATTTTTGATTTATATCAGTTTGGGAAAAATCTTTACTTAAATAAATGTATTGCATGAATAAAGTCATGATTGCCATGAAGACATTCAGAATTGGATCCGTTTTCCTCCCCAGGCCGCTCAGACCCGCAGATTTCAGTCACAACAGCCCAGGATGGAGCCCACATCCTGCGCCGCTGCTCCAACCCGTCGTCCCACTCGTCCAGCCCTCAGACTCAAACGAAACACGGCTCCTCTTCGTCAACTACAGAAACCCAGAGTAACAGTGGGAGAGCCCAACGGTCCTCACATGGACAAGGAGGTCTGCAAAGATCGCACAGGCAGACCTGGGACGGCCAGACCCCTCAAAGTGTCTCACAGGCATCCAATCAGAATCACGGTGGACCAGTCAGGTGAGAAAAGAGCTCCAGATTATCCTCAGAATAAAAATGTTTATTCAGTGCCATGCAGATTTATTTGGATTTTATATTCAGGACAGCTCACAGAAAGGATGTCTGAAATAAATGCAAGTTTTGGAAAATTGATCAATTAAAATGTAATTTTATATGGAAAAAATTGTAGATTTTACTTTCAAGCCATATCGCTCCACCCCCAAATTGTACTAGTTGCCAAGCATGGAGGTGGTAGCATCATGCTAAGGGTCTTCTTAACTACCAGTAGTTCTGGAGAATCACAGAGAACAACAAAAAAGAACAGTTCAAATGCAAAATTTAAAATTCATGAGTCTCCTCTGTTAATACCAAAACCCCCTGACTGTCCTCCTGTGGTGTTATCAGCTCAGAGAAGACCACCTCCTATCGGCGCACCAGCACCGGAGGCGGCAGCTTCGGAAAGGGCAACGTGGGCTCTCTGGCGCCGCCCTGCGTGGGCAGCCAGGAGGAGCTGTACTGCAGCCTGGTGGGGAACGGAAACGGCTCGGCTCCGTCTCCAGCGCCTTCGTCCTCCCCCTCTGTGACTTGTGGTCCTCGCTCCCGCAGGAATGCAATGGTGCGACCGCACAGACACCTTATTGTGTTTGGCTCAGCCGGCCGGTCCAGAGAGGTTCTTCTCATGGTGTTCCTCGTTTCATGCAGGTTTCGGTCAGCAGGCCACAGAAACGCGTAAAGGCTTTGGTGGACTGCCGAGCGGTCAGCGCCGAGCAGCTCGCCTTCTTCAAAGATGAAGTCATTGTGGTCACAGCCACTAATGACCCCCACTGGTGGGTAAGTGCAACTACAGTTTTCTTTTTCAGCTACATATTTTTCTCTGCAATGGTTGAATTTTGTTTTTTATTAAAATAAAATCATCCATTAAAAAAATTATTTTTTAAGAATAACTATTGTGTTCAGTGTTGCTCCCTAATGAATCACTTGCAATGCACCTTGAACTTCTTCACGTTTTGTAGCTACAACCACCACCTTCGATGTATTGATCAACCACGATGTTTGGCATTTTTTACAAATTAAAATCTGAAACATTTGGCACACATCTGTATGAAAATCCTCTTCTATAATTAGGGACGCAAGTTATCGATTAATGAGTTGATCTAAAGTTGATTGATCTGATTAATCATCTAATGATTAATTAAGAAGTGTTGATTTTCTTAAAAACCCGGGTTTCTCTTGTATCAAGATCTCCGACTGTCTTTCCATAACATAAAAGGCTAATTTTCAATATGCTGAATTTACAAAAAGACGCACATCACTAAAGTTTAACGACATTTTGTGTCAACTCTGGCTGATTAAACAGAAAATTGTGGTTTCTTACGTTGTTAAACTTAAATATATTTATAATATAAAACAGGAACCTCTTAGATTGCTGAATAGGAAAAGATGAAAAGAAGAAAATACTTAAAATACTTAATCCCCCATGAACTATTAATAAACCATTAATAAAACTATCAATTGTTTGCATTCCTAACTCTGAAACCCAGAGCAAACGATTACATTCAGAAGTCACCTGGCTTGGAAACACAGTGTAAAGATTTTATTTCAGTATTAATCCAGCTCCTCTCTTAAGGTTTTATAGATTTGTAAGTTTTATAACAAATCTATAAACCTTAAGGTTTTATAGATGCTTTTTGTCCACTAGAGAACATTAGTGGACAAAAAGCACCATAAATCCTAAAGTACTGGAAGTCAGGCCAGGAATGAAGTTGTTCTCTCACTAAACACGATACAATCCATCATCAGAAAATGGAAAAGTTTGGCACAGATATAAATCTACCATAACAGGCCGTCCACATAAACTGACAACCCTAAACATACACTGGCAGCTAGAATAGAGTCAAACTATAATGATGTGTTGGAATGGCCTAGTCAAATCCAATTCAAGATCTGTTGCAACTCTTGAAAATTGATGTTTGCAGCTGTTCTCCATCCAACCTGACTGAGGTTGAGCTTTTTTTGGAAGGAAGAATTGACAAAAACGTCTAATTAGGCGACTTCACAGGGCAGCTAGTTGAACTGGGTTTTATTTGGTGGCATCAGAGTCAAATTCATGTCATACTTTTCAGATTTCTAGGAAATTCTGGTTCCATTCCATAATTGAGCACTAACTTGTGTCGGTGGACAAATGAAATCAGAAAAAGTGTTAAAGTTTGTGGTTGTAATATGATAAAAAGTTCAGTGAAAGAACTGCAGACTTACCATAATTGGTTACTTCACATTTCTCAGCTATGTGCTACAAAACTATATTTACTGATAGTTTTAACTGACAGCTGATGATTAATGTGCTTATCATAGACATTTCATTCATTATTTTACACATGTTTTGAAATGACATTCAGAAAATGTTGAATTCTTTATCATAAATTGAGTTTTTTATAGTGTGAGAAACTTAAACATTGCATTTCTCATCTTCCTGACAGGTCGGCCATATTGATGGCGACCCTTCCAGGAGTGGAACCTTTCCTGTCAACTATGTGCACAAAGTAACAGAATGATGCTAGTTTGGACTTCATCACCACATGTGGGAAAGGAAATACTGTTCTATTCATGGATCCAAGTAATCTGGGAATATTTTCACAACAGGATCGACTGACCAAAGGACATCTGCACGACGAAATCGTCTTTTTTAGGGGACTATTACTCATCTCAGAAAGCAACAAAGAAACTGGAAACTTTTATTTGTTGTCTTAAACTTGCAGTTGCAAAGATAAAGCAATGACTGTGAATTGCTTTAATGTTCTTTTAAATATTAATCAAACATTTGGGCTGCAGATATATAAGCTGCCTGTATTGATATTAGACTTGTGCATATAGGCAAAATTTCCCTGCAGGACAAAAACCTCTTGAAGGCACTTTAAGTTTCAGAGGAATCCTCTGAAGAGTTGGGAGAGCTGTAAATGTTTAATTAGCCAGGAGTCAGCTGCTTTAATTCCCTCTGAACGGAAAATGACAAGGATTTGAAATCACAGGTTAATGAGTCATATGAGGTTCAGACCCGCCCAGTATCTGCCGCAGACTGGTCCGGATCGTGCCTGCCAGTCTGTCTCCAGTAAAACGTCGATATGTCTGCGTAGCCCAGCGAGAGATCTGAAACTTTGGCTGAGCCGCGGCGACTCCGGGCCCAGGCTGGCTGCAGACGGAGGCCGGGATCCTGTTTCCCGCTGCCTCCAGGCATCAGTCCCCGGAGAACCTGGAGTAACAGCGGCGTGTTGGAGGGAAAAATAAATATAAGAAGTCTCTGTCCGTCCAGGAAATGGCACTTAAAGTGGACTTGCTAATAACTGCACCCCAGCACAGTAATTTCTTCGAGGTTTTTTCACTGTAAGGCCACATTTTTCATGCCACACATGCACGCTTACACACAAGTCAGCTTCCAGGAGTCAGAAAGCTTTGTGGGAGAAAGGATATTTATGAGTAAATGATGCACATTTATTTTCATTTACACCATTTCTTGTACATATTTGGTCAAACCTAACACACAAAGTTGATACAAGGCGAGGACATGCTCGTAATAAATGCCAAGTTCTGGTTATATAAAATATGCAAATAAGAGGAAACATGAAGTTTTTCCACCTTTAATGTGAGAAATATCCTGTACAGTTCAGCTGGAAAATACATTTATTAGTAGAAGATAATATTACAAACTGCAGTAATGTAAATGCATAAGTGTATAGATCTTTAAACTAATACTATTTTGTTTTCAGTCTTTGGTAAGGGTGTCAACATCTGGATTTGGTCATATTTGCCTTGTCTGCTTTTCTGAAAACGTGTCACATCATCACACAAACCTAATTCATTAGGTTATTTCAAATATTCTGCCATTTTTGCCTTTAATTTAGATGTTTGGACTGAATGTGATGTTATGAAATAAACCTGCTTCTCATCCTCAGTTTTAGCCAGTCGAAGGTTTTTAGTGAACGGCAGTTTCATCCCTCGTGACAAAAACACCAAGTTTCATCTGAAGTGAAACTAACCCCACAGGATGATGCTGCCACCACTGTGTTTTGGTGAGGGCGTGCTGTTTTTTTGGTGAGGCCCAGAAGTTGAGCTTTGTGTTCATAAGATTATAACATCTTCTGCTTCAAAGTTTTTGAAAGACCTTTTAGAAGAAAATTCTTCTGTAAAATCTCTACATTTGTCAATTGTTTCTCGTCTTAAAAACTTTGTACTACAACCAAAAATAATAATAAAATGTTAACTGCTTTTAATCCACTCTTCAATAAAAAAGCCTTTTTTATAGAAAAAGTTTCTAAACCTCAACAAGTTTTCTATTTCGTATGTGATGTAGTAAATTGTTTTGTACCCTTCTCCTGAATGATACCGTTTTATCTCTTGAAAGTGAGATCCTTTTAAAACTTTCTAACAACTCTGCCAATAATGACTTTCACTAAATAGTGAGGAAAATCCCTTTGGAACAATTACATTGTATTTCCAGCTAATTAGATTCATTATAACTGGTTATATTCACTGGTTCAAATTTTCTTTAAGCTGAATGAAATTGAACAGATAATAAAAAATTGTATGTCAAATGGGCATGATAATTAGTTTTAACTTTTATTTTCTTTTTCCTTGATTTTACTTTTGTTTGTTCAAAATAAATTAAATAAAAGGTGATTCAATAAAGGGATTGCATACTTATGCAACCAGGTTTGCTTATAGGGTGATTTCTATATAAAATATGTCAGATTAAAGGTGGAAAACGTTTGAAAGTTATTTATATCGGTCTCGGGGTTTTTTCCGTAGCACAAACATTTAATTGTGCCCACTTTCAACATGCACTGTATATATCCTGAATAATTGTTATATGTTGCTTGTTTTCCCACGTGATATGAATTTTAAGGGACAGTGTTACTTTTTGTTTTTTAACTTAATATCACGTTATTGTGCAACATTTGCTTTGGTTATCCACCTGACTGCTGGAGTCAGAATAATGGTGTAAAAGGGAAATTTTCTAACTTAAACAGACGTGCAGTAAGGGGGTAAAAGCGTTTAGAAAGCTGGTTTGGAGTCTGCTATTTCTGTTCACATCATCCGGTTACTGTGTTGGTTATGAGGCAGAGAAACATGGAAGTGTGAGGGAACAGATGACTGCAGCAGATTGTCACTCTCAGTGGGGACTGTGTGAAATGTAAACAAGAAATGAGCTCGCTTTAGTTTGTAACATATGCATTAAACATGTTTAATGAAGCGCTTTGCTGTAAATGAAGTCATATCTTTGTTTCTACTTACACAACAGATGCTAAAACTAAAAACGTTAGTTACATTATTCATTGAGTGGGCATATTTATTTATTCAGTATGTTTTCCTTCTACATTCTTAAATTCATGCAAAGTTCACATTTCCCCAGTGTTAATTATTATTCATTTTAACTTCTGTATTTTTTTGACACTCTGAATATTAATCTTATTTACAATCCCAACTGGTGGAGACACGTTTTTGTCTTTTAGTGCTTTGGAGTTGAGCCCAGGTTGTTGGCTTCTGTTTCTGAACTCAGGCTCTCATGGGTTTGAGGTCTGAAGATTTCCTGACAGGTTCCAGATTTCACATACCAAGAAAAAATAAAAACGTAAAATTACGAGAAGAAGTCATAATATTAAAAGAATATAATCTTCCTATGAGAAAGTCATAACATTATGGGAATACAGTGCGAGAATAAAGTCGTAATCATATGAAAATAGTCAGTATTATGAGAATGAAGTCATAAAATTACGAGAATAAAATCTAATTATTAGAATAAAATCTTAAGTCATATTTTGAGAATAGTCATGAGAATAAACTTCAAATATACATTTAGAATTGTAAATAATTTGCCATAATTGTGAAATGTTTAACATACGTCTATGTTTTAAATCTAGAAACATTTTTTACTGAATTTGTGCATTTTTTTTCTGTCTCTAATCTGAATGCTTTCCTGGGGAAAATCTCCTCAGGTCTCTCTTTTGGCAGTCGTCCCTGCAGCCTCGTTTTAAACCCATCTGGATGTGACTTTGCTCTGACCCGCTATCCGAAAGTCAGAATGATGAAACTCCAGCCTGTCACTTACGTAAGCAGCCGGCACAGGGAGCCATCAGGCTGCAGCCTGCTCTGTTCTGCCAGCACAGATAAGCTTCTCTCCCCATCAGGCCTGCCTGTGTCATGCATTGGCACTTACCATATATACAAACAGCACTCACCTTCAAAGGTTCACTATTTTGCATTATAGTATAATTTTTTCTCAATTTTCCCCAGCAGAACGGCTGAAAATTTGTCAGGTATTATCCTCACACACCTTTTTGTTCTGCTCACACATCAAGCCTCTTTGTGACTAATTTGGTGGGATCCTCAGGATTATCATCCATTTGGAAATCCCATTTGTCGCCTGCTGGATATTTTGAGATTTTTCACATACTTCACTGTTTTCACTCTGACTTTTAGACATTACCAAATTTTCTTCACCTTTGGGTATTAAGACCAAACATTTAAATTTTCATTTCATATTTCATCAGACCACAAGTGATGTATCTAAAGACTAAGGGCTTGGTCCCTTTTTATTTATTGTTTTTTTTTTTTTTGCCTTCAGCGTAACGACCTCTTCCTTCCTGAGTGACCATTCAGGCTAACTTGGAACATGACTTGGAAAATTGCACCACTTTTCCAGCTTCTGGCAGTTTTTTTCTCAGGGTTTTTGCTCTTGTTCTCAGGTTGGTTCAAAGATTTCTCACCAAAATGCATTCCTCTCATCTCGTTCCTGGACGGTGTGATGGCTGGACATTTCCATAATATTTAGATTTGCATGTAATTGTTTGAACATATGAATGCATAAAACAGTATTTAAGTGATTCTAACTGATTTAAAGCATTAAAAGTGTATTTTGATGTTTGTGTTTTCATAAAATGTGTGTAAACATCTGGGCTTCAACTGTAAGTTCCATGTAAATGCTAATGCTTCTTATGAAAAAATGGCATAATCGTTTTAATGTAACTTCATAAACCCTCGCTTCCAACGAAGAGCTTTCAGAAGGGGGTAATATTTCCATTAATTCTTCCATTTGCATCCCACTGCTGTTTTATCGAACCCTCCTTTTACCAAACAATCAGCTGAGAAAGGGATTTAATGGGCCAGCATTACAAGTTAAGGCCTGCTAAATCTTTGTGGCTGATGCAGCTTTTACAGCTTCCTCCTTCTGGCGTGCAGCATCTTGTTACGTCAAAGAGCTTTTTTCTGCTGACCATGTCCTGCAAGCTGCTGGGAAACGCTGCAAGGTGACCCAAATAGTCCTGAGACTTTTCCTTTCTCAAGCAACGCATGTGAAATTTAACCCTTTGTGTTTGCCTACTCCAAACATATAAATCTGAAACAAGAATTTTTTTCCCCCACAACATTCAAGTCATGTAGTTAATTTATTAATAAATTGTATCATGTTGCCAACAAATAATCTTTCAAAAGATAAGCTTGAGAGGAGTCTTTTGATAATTGTGTAGCGTTGTGCAGAAATTTATTGTTGCAAACTAAACAAAGCAGGAACCCAAAGCAGAACATGAATTAACGTTTTATCATAAAGCTTTTTTCATCAAAAACAGATGATGCTAAAGTGTGCAGCTCTAATTGTAGTCAATAATAACTGAGGAAAAAAGCTATAGCTTTTAAACATACCATAAGAATATCACACAAATTTTAAAGCAATAAATAACTGGTATGCATAAGTAAACATGAATTATTCAAACATTCAAGTGTTAAACTTCATAAAGGTGGTTTTGAGCCTGTGGCTAGTCAGTGTTGATGTGAGTAAAGGGCTAAATGAGCTAGAGCTGTGGTAACAGGTTCCAAATTCATCAAAGTAAATACTAGCCACAGGTTCAAAATGGAAATATTATATAACCAGTGTTCAGAAAAATACAGAAACACCCAACAATCAACATTACATTCATTCTGCATGTGGGCCCAGAGATCTTTGGGTAATGTGTGAGAAATTCAGGCACCCCATGTGGGTCTTAACTGGGTCCCATAAAGAAAATCCCCACACGTTCCAATATTCTTCTGCAACAAAACATTAAAATGAAGTCAGTATGTAACATAGATACAATCCCATCTTTGACCCATTATTTCTACCCATATGGGGCCCATATGTAAATGTTGTCCGGCTGTTTGTGTGAGTACCATCCTTTCTGTAAAGACCAAAACAGAAAAATCTCAAACAGCAAATCAGGCTAACTGTATGTACAGGTAGCTCTATATATACAGGAGCATAAATACATGTTATTAAATAAAACCTTTCTACGCTAATGTTTGGTATAGATGGGCACAAACCCAGAAAGCATATTTTTCTTTTTTTTACTTTGGGCATGTATAATGCTGAGCTAAATAGTCAACATTCAAGGAGAAAGACTTTGTGGCTCTCAGTAGGTCAAGAGAAACATTTGGTTTGACCCAGTTTCTTTGAATGAAGAGGCACTCCAGCTATTTCTCACAACGGTTCTCAGATTAAAACCACAAGTATCACTGGTAAATTCAAAATTCTCTCTAATGTCGTCTTTGCTTCATATAGAAAAGTGGAGAATATGAGTAACTTCCTGGTTTAAACTAGAGGACAACCAGCTACTTGTTCCAATCCCTAAATAACTGTTTTCTAGTTACAATTTGGAAAAACAAGATATTCTAAACGTTGTGTTCATCAGAACAGTTCATCACTGCATCCAACACTGAAAAACACTTTCAGCCAAACAGCCCAGCTAGTATCTGACTGGGATCTGGGTTGGCAGATAAGATTCCTCACAGGTTACAGAGAAATGCTGAAATAGATTTTATAAAAGACAATTCTTGGAGAAAAGTAGGACCCATGTGAGACCTGGATTATTGATTTTCTTAATATTCACTGGGGACTAAGCGAAGCGTGTCCAACAGGATTGCCAGTAAAATTGTATTTAAATGGTCCTTCAAACCAGAGTAAAACCCATATGAGGCAGACATGCACATGTTGCAGTACCAACTGATCTTTTTATCTGTTTTTGTCATCATAAAACACATAACCAGCTAAAATAAATACAAAATTCTGTTGTTTTATTGTTTTAAAATGTCAGTCAGTATGGAAATATCTGTATCTTTTAATGTTCTGAAAAAGTCTCAGATCCACAATGTGAATAAATTGTTTGACAAACTATTTGATAGAGTGCTCCTTTAAGTGTTTCCAAGCAACACAGACAAACTCCATTTTTAAGCCCTTCAAGTGAAAATTAGCAATGACCCAAATCCAGCTCCTACTGAAGTGAACCAGCCTCATGTGGAGAGTCTTCACATCCTTTACATGCATCATAGTTTTCTTATAAATGCATTTTGTCAAACACAGGCAACCTGGTCTCCCATTAGTGTCTTCCTCTGTTATTCTTAACTCTATAAAAGTACATGAAGTGGATGCTTCTAAAACATCCATTAAATTTGTGCAAGCAAGCAAAAAAAAGAAAGAAAGAAAGAAAGAAAGAAAGAAAGAAGAATCACAAACGGAATGAATCATTTAGTGAAAGTGGTGATACAATCAAAGCTTGTGTCTCCCTGTTGTGCAGCCTGGCTCCTGGTTCTTCGTAGCAAAGCACCATCAGGGATTGTGTTACTGCAGAAAAAAGGGTGTTTGTCAGGACATTTTACCCAGACAAACAGTGAACCTAGACTGAGTGTGGATCACTACATAACCTGTTAATGCCCAAACGAGACATCCCTGATGCAATTAATACCTGTGTACATCAAAGGAGAGGAACAGAATGCAAAAAGTCAATCACTATTAACCCAAAGACAAAAACATATATAGAAATGAGAAAAAAAAAACATTATGGGACAAATGTGTTGTGCTTAACAGATAATGCAGCAACATGATGTAAATAAACACTTGACTTAATTGGTCAAACCTGCTACAACCACTATGATTCCATATTAGTGAGGTCTTTTGTGCACTTAAAGTTATATTTGCATTCTAAGAAGCAAACCTGTAGCTCATATCATCGTCTTGTTCTTCATTAAGACAGCAGAGTTAGCACAGCTAAGATTTACAAGCTGATGCATGCATGAGTAATTCAAATCTAACCCCCGATCATCAGAAGCAGAAATAATAATAATAATAATAATAATAATAATAATAATAATAAATCTTGATGTTTATCATTTGTTTTACAAAATCCCTGCCACAGTAGAGTAATCAGGGCTCTCAGCTGGATACATTCTGCATTTTATGTGGAAGAGGATTTAGGATGGAGGAATAAATGGTTGCTAGGTGACAGGATAAAAAGAGGCCACAGGTGGAAGTGTCCCAGCATGATTTTTCCCCCTATTATCTGTCTTTCCTTAATGCTGCTATGACAGTGGGATGAGCAGTCTCAGAGAAGCCAAGGCACATTTTTTCAATCATTTCCCACAATTACATTTTCTATTTCTGCATCTGTCTGCATCGGTTTTATGTAACAGTGCAGCAAACGTCTCATCTTACCTTTCTGTCCTTCACTTTGCCCTTTATGAGCTGCCCAGGCAGATAGTTCAGTGATCTACACTGTTGTGTTGCCCCTTCTTCAGTAAGCTTACATAACCCTCCTCGCTGCTGCAGAAGTTAAAGTGCAGCAGAACCTCCTGAAAAGAGAGCAGAGCTCACCTCCCACATCCCCTTGACTCATCTGTGCATCATGAATTTGACATGAATCTCTCAAAAGCAAGCACTAATAATAACTGCAAGCAGCAAATAAGCTGTGAGAGCAACTAGGACACAACGACATCCCGTACACAATGCACTAGCCAGGGAGTTTTCTCCAGAAATCTACTGAACCGGAAGCTCCTTACTGGCCTCTGTGATATTTAGGCACTCTAACCCCTGAAGGACCAGCCTCAGGATTCAAGAGCAGTAAGGTTGTAACTGGAGAGCAGCCGTGTCACTGAGAGCTAAAGGATGGAGCTCCACCCCTCACTATTTAATGTAAAGCACATTTCTAATGTCATGGGTGAAAGGTCAGTATCTGACGTCCTATTTGAGCTTCACAGGCCAGGGGAGGCACGTGCGCAGTCCGAGCATGGAGGAAAACACGATGGTGGGTCGGTGCTTCTTGAACTTCAAGCCTTTCTTCACCCGCTGGGTGTTCTCCGCCACGTACAGCTCACCCTGCTGGGCCGCACCGGTTATCCGCGACACCAGCTCCCCGTGAACCACCACCTGCTGCTCGGACCGCACAAACATCTCCCTGAGCTCCTCCAGCCGCCGCTCCATCTCCCTGATGACCCGCTGCCGCTCCTCCACCTCCAGCAGGCGCCGCCGGGCCGCCTCGAACTCCATGCTGGAGCTGGGGGTGACCAGCTTGGAGGAGGGGGCCGTGGCAGAAGTGGACGGGGGATCGGAACCGGCCAAGAGAGCCCCTGTCACCCTCCGAAAGTCTCCCATGGAGATGGACCGCCTGGTTGCTGGAGACGCCAGAGCCAGGAGAGTAGAGGCAGACACGGAAGGAGGCATGGCGGGCTGAGGAAGAGGGGAGGAGGAGGACGGTGATGGGGACGACGAGTCCGGCAGGTTTGGATCAGGATGGGAGTCCGTCCCTTTAAAAGCTGCTGCCACGTCCTCAGCCGAGCCTTCATCAGGGCTCTCTGGGTTTGTTCGCCGCCCTCTCACAGTCTTGGCACCGCTTTTTCCTCCATCTTTGCTGATTTTCCTCTCCATCCTCCCGTTTCAGGTGAAAGAGCAGCAGAGACGTGCAGCGATGCAGCCCAGGAAGCGCTCCATCCATTAATAAGACATCCGAGCTCAGATTGTGCAGCCTCTGCATCCGAGTTGTTGTGCTGTGGAGGGCGCCTGCTGGCATTTCATTGGCTCCTGCATTTCTGAGCATGTCAGCTGGTGATTGGCCAGCCTTCCTCCCGGCTGCTGATGCTGGCAGGCTGAGTGTCCTCCGTCTGACTCTCCCTCGTCACCATCCTGAGCTCCGCTTTCAGAATCTGACTTCAGTGTCCTTCTGACATGATGTTTCTTCCCTTCTGTTCTCTCAGCCTCTCTGTTGCCATCCTGCACACCAGGTGGTGTCTCCATTTTCCTCTCTCTTGCCCGGACGGTTGCCCATAGCAACACAGTCTTGACATCAGTTGCCAAGAGCAGGAGGGAGGGGTGATGCTCCACTTGATCTCTCCCTTAATCAGTTGATTACACAGCATTACTGCTCACTGCCACTACTCCATCATACTCTCTTGCTCAACAAAAAGCAGTCTTTCTTTCTTTCACTAAAAGATTATGAAACAGTCACCAAATATGTTTTTCACAGAAGAATCAGATTGCTACTGACCTCAGCCAATTAAAGATTAGTGGATTATTTTTAAAAGCAAGTTGATGCCAGAAAATTAACTAATCTCTACCATTTCTGTCAAGAAGGATTGTCACACATTCAGTTATTCCAGTTATGTATTATTGCTGCTACCAAAAGTATATTCTCTGTAAATTCCTAAGGTACACCAATCCAGATGTTTGTGGGGACATATGTGAACTTAACATCAAAACAGTTTACATCTCTGGCAGATTTAGATTTGAAGTAATATTTTAATTTGACCAACATTTAGGAAGTAATATTAATCTTTTTGAATCTGACAGAGAATCTGTGGAAGGAGATCAGGAGACCTCAAAACTCACCAACAAAGATAATTTGTCTGTGGAAAAATGCATAAAGCTGATCTGGAGTTATAAGGATGTTTCTGTAATGCTGGTAATGATTTGCTCTGCTTATTGAGAATTTAGAAACATTTTTGTTTATTTGACATAAATAAAACGATAAAAATTTTTCTCCACATTTATGTTCCTTTAGCTGTTAGAGACGCCTGTCTCATTTATGATGAACAGCAAAACTTTGTGTGTGTATTTAAGTTTAATGTTGTTCCTGTTGGGACTGGAGACATTTAACGATAAATTCAAACTAGTGCACGCAATAATTTTGTGTTAATTTTTTTATCTGTGAAAAAAAAAGCTGAAATAAAATGACTAAAACCCCATCTATGTCAATTTTTTAACAGTATTGCACCATGTCAACCTAAACCTGCTGCCTGTTTGATCTGTTGCTTTATATAACATCAGGATAATCTACATCAAAGTGTCTGGATGTGAACTTGAGCTGCTCACATCAGGCTCTAACTCATTACATCATCTTCACTAAGTTCATTTTTCAATTTTCTGCCACAGGCTCTAAAAGCTAACCTTACATTCAGTCTAGACATATTGACTGATTTGGCTGCAGGACACAGATGATGAATTAAGTAAGACAAAGCTCAAGTTCACTAAAATACACACAAGACTGATGAGAGGGGGAACGGCGCTGTGTTTTAAACCATGAGTGTTTTCAATAAATGTCTTCTTTCATGGTGAAGGGAAACAGATGAAGCTTTCAGCGGGTCAGAGGTGGCTGTGCGTGTCTTCATGGACTCGGCTCTTTGCTTTTATCTCAGGATCGGCGTTGCATTAGTCAGTGCTGCGGCTGCTCTCTTCTTGCTTTTAGCTTCACTAATCTCCAGAGTGAAGAGGGAGTGTTAAAGAAAACAGCAAAAAATAGACGAGGCAAAGAAAGCGAGGGAAGGATGGACTATATGCATCTGAAAGTAAAGATGGCAGGAAAATAAAGGAAGAAGAAATAAATTGGAAGAATACATATATAGCAGTAATGCATCAAATCAATTCAAATTTAATTCGACTAAAGCTTTTCATTCATTTTACAAATGTTTTGTTTTAAATGTTTTTATTTTAGGCAAAGGTGGCTGCACAGCACCCAGGAGTTAAATTAATGTGAAGGTTTCATTAAAAATGTTGAACACAAACCCGGATCTGACTACAGGAGCTGCTCTCCCTGCAGAACCTTTTATTATCCACCGATGACGTGCTGAACCTTCAGAATAAAAACGTTTTGTAACCTTGAAACCTTCTCTCTGGCCTATATGGAAGTCAGCATATAACTTATATGAATGATCTTGTTTTGCTAATTTATAAATATAGGGAAAGTTTTTAAAAAATAATTCATTACTGATAATATCTTTAACTGTAGAGAAAGGCTTTTTATCCTGCAATTTATTCAGCAGAAAGATGTCTGAAGCCTTGAATGTGAAAGCAACTCTAGGCATAAAAATGTTTTAGTGCGACAAAGCCTGAAGGTTTCCACTGTCTGCTTTTGTTTGGCTGAGCCCTCATGACGACTCCTTCCCTGGAAACTGATTGGGGATGAAAACATTTTTTAACCACAGAGCTGTTCTGATAGCTCAGGTTGACTAAAGTGATTTCCAAACTACAGAGGACACCTGAACACAAGCTGCACCAACTAACTTTGAACAGAAAAAAAAGTGAACATATATATAAGCTCCACTTTTCTAAAAGCTTCAGGTGTCGTGAAATATTTATGCAGAAAGATTTCTTTAACTTTTAATGAAATACTTATTTTCTGAACAGCGCCTGCAGCACGCCTGCTGAAACAGACAAAAAAAAAAGAAGAAAAAATACAGTAGTATTGAGCCCTGACTTCATCTTTTGGAGCATAAATTTAAACTCCTTGGAGAGCAGAAAACCTTTTTCAAGAGCAGACCTTAGATCTGCTTAGATTTTACTGTAAAATTTCTATTTCCTACTTACACAACCATCAAATTTATCTTGTAAAAGAATTGATCAGATTTCTTCTTCTGCTTTGTTTCTTTTTTCATATTGCATGACAATAAAGCTGAAGTAATAAAGCTAATCTTTGATCACATTATTTATTACTTTTTCAGATTCAAAATATCCTCCTTTCTTTAATTGTGTGATAAAACTCATACGACAGAAAAACGATTTCCTTTAGGGAACAATTCTGAGTTGTTTGCTGTATATCATAACTCATCAGCTTCTACCACGGCAAAAATCTGTATTAAGAATCAGTTTTCCTGCAAACCCCTGAAAGCTTCAGGAAAAACAATTACATGGTACAATTTCCATGATAAAGTGCAATTACTCTCATGTGCCAAATCCTTCTAAAAATACAATTATCTCCATCCCGCCTCTCAAATCTCCCATTTATCCCTTCCTAACTAAAACTGACGTGAAAGCCTCCACTCCTCAAACCAAACTCTCTGTTCCAGATTATTTTAATCTGCCATGTGTTTGTATTTTGAGCATGCACGTGTGGAGGATGAGGACATTAAAGTGCCTTTGCATTATCTGGTCCATCTCTGGCTGACACGGTTTTTTTGTTGTCCATCTGAGACGCCAGAAATGTGCAGCAGCAGAGTACTTAGCAGTCATGTAGTGAGACTGTTACATAATCCAGCTGGATAAATAAGTAAGGAGCCTTCAGGGAAGAGGATAAGAAGAAACACAACAGGAATATAGATAACAGATCAACTTTTTTATGAACTCAATAGATACAGTGCCTGTAGTATTCCTATTTACATCGCAACTGCAATGTCTTTTAAACTAAGGCTGGAAACCACATTTGTTTAGACCTGTTTTTGGTCAACAATAACTAGAACATCATTAGTTTTAGTCTGGGCTGCCTCTTTTCCTTGCCACTGTAGTATGATGTTTTTTGTTTGCTGATTGTGTTAGGATTGCATCATGTAAAGGACTTTGAACTGCACTGAAATGTGTTCAGGCAGTTTAGTTGTCATGCTATGTATAACATGTAAATTGTTATATATCACAGGAATCTACTTTGGGTACTGCAGGGACAAAAAAAGCAATAACAGTTGAGGTTTTGCTACACAGCAGTGTTGTGTTTGTGCAAGTAAAAATGAATTATGGGTAACAATTGCCAAGGCTATAAACCTGATAAATTACCAAATAACTGTGTGCTGCAGTGGGATATTGAGCATAAATATTCAGCTTTATGTACAGCATGTTGAAATCTTAACTCACATCAGCAAGAGAAAAATGTTTCAACTGATGAGGCATCATTAAACATCGATAATGTCCCCAAAGTTTCCCTTCAACAGCTTATCAGACTAGCATCCTCTGACATCCACCCACTTCCACTGTTACAGAACCTGAGGAAAACAGACAGTAATATAAACAAAGGAGACAAGACGAGCAAAAAAAAAAAAAAAAAAAAAGCACCCCTTTCCTTTTTTTCCTGAGATGGCAGACAAACAATGCTGTTCCTTTTTCCACTGCCCTGTAATCAATACCAGTTTTCTGTTCCTGCTGCAGCAGCAGGCTGAGTCAGTCAGCCTGCGTGCACGTGTGAGTGGGAGCAGGCGTAAAAGAGCTGGAAGTCATTCATTGCACTGTGAGTTACTGGCACATTGACGTCAGTGCACAGAGAGCAGGGCCCAGCGGAGGCATATAAACTGAGCATTGCTGTCTGAGGACAGACACAGGCATTTATTTCATGAAACGCTGGCGTACATCTGCTGAGCACAAACGATTTCAGAGGGCTCTATAGGTGCCCCCGCATTATGAGCAGCAGTTACTCAGATGGCAGTTATATAAGGAACTGCTGCTGTGCAGACAGAGACGGGTAGCAGCAGGTAGAAAAATGTGCTAACTTTCAGGCTGGAGGGGAAAGAATAAGACTGAGCAGCTACATTCTGACGAAAGCTAAAATACAATGAAAACATCCTGAAAACATTCCTTCATATTTGTATTACAAGCTGCTTCCACTGTGCAAGAACGCCATGATTTATACGATTCTACTCTAAATCCTGTTGCAGCAACCTTGAGAATCCTAAAAACTCATCAGTAAGCTTAATAAATGATTAAACCACTGAGCGCTTTACACTACAGCCACATTCGCTCATCCACACTCACAAGTGAGCATACATTCATACACTGACACACATAGCAAAAAGCAAATTGGGGTCAAGTGCCTTGCCAAGGGGCACATCGACAGAAACTGGAAACAAACCTACAACTTTTGGACTACAAAATGACTTCTCTTCCCACTGAGCCACTATTTCAATAAATGTAACCGAGTTGAAAATCAACACAGTATTTTCAGTTTTGGAAAGCGCTCTGTTCATCAGGGATGCGTTAAACTTCATAGGCCTGGATTTTCAAAATTCAAGCACTGCCCTTTGTCTCCCTCTAGTGGTCATCAGTGGAAAAAGCATGGTTCTTCATTTCGGCTCCTTATAAATAAATAAATAAATACACCGACACATTTAGAGAGGCCTTAAAATATAAACATGACATCATATCTTCAGATTTGGAATACATCTTCCTATAGTTATATCAGAATCATTTTAGTTTAGTCCAATTCACTTTTTTACCTTACGTTTTTCACATTACAACCAGAAAATTGTGAATTTCAAGGCTACAAAACAAAAAATAAAATAAAAAAATACTCCAGGGGTGCAGAGTTCATCCATGACAGAAACACTTTATATTCTTTAAAACTATATGCTTTTTTTTCCATGTGAAAAAAAAGGATTTAAAGATGAAATTACAAAAGAACCAAGTGACACAGTTTGTCATAGCAACTCCATTTTTAATATTATAAGATATAAAAATCTTCATCTTTATCATACAATAACATCTTTCCCACAATGCCATCAGTCAAAAGAATGAGCTTTTTGCCAAACAAGAATTAGAACAGAACTTTGATCCCTTTTGAGGTAAGACAGCTTGTTCTCAGTATATCCAGCCTTACAGGTCTGTCCTTTAAAATCACATTATAATGCAAGACAGTTTCACCTGCAGGCACCGAGCTGAGAGCACGACCTGACTCAGGAAGTGATTCAGGAAAGATCCACAGATTGCTGATTTAATGTGATGAAAGTGGTAAAAAAAAACAAAAACAAAAAAACCCAAAAACGAATCATATTCAAATATGATAAATGGGGGGGAGGGTAAGGAGGAGGAGTGTGTGGCTTTATCAGCCAGTTATGTTTGAGTGCTCAGTTAAATCAGGACATCAATAAGTAAGTGTCCCTTTTACATTCTTACAACATAAGAAGAGACCTGCAGGCTGTGATCTGCTCAGCATGTCTTTCACTATTTTAAACCATTTCGTGTCTTGAGACAAAAAGCAAAAAAACAACAACAAAAGCAGCCAACACAAACAGCTTTCAATATGCATTATCCAAGAAACAGTGGAATAAACGAGAAACCAAAGCATTGAACAGATTTCAACATGCCACATTGTTCTGTGGGCAGATTTTCTTTCACAGAAAGCCAACTATTTCACTAGTTTATAGTCATAAAAATAGGAGACTTTTTTATTAACCAAGCAGAGAGAAAGCAGCAAACAAAGAAGCCACATGACATCTTCACGTCACCATGCACATGACTCTGCAGACAGAACCGACACACACTGCAAGTCATGCAATTCACACTCACTCTCACACACACACACACACACACACACACACACACACACACACACACACACGGTCTGTAAAACCAAACAAATTGAGATCAACATCAACCCAAAACATTTCCCAGAATCCACAATGTTCTGGTTGAACCAGAGCCCCACGAAAAAATACTTAATCATTTTAATTCTGCTTTTTGAAGAAAGACGAACAAAAAAAACGTTTTACAGCAGTTGGACAATACTGTGGCTCTGTGCTGTCGGCACATCGATTTGGCAGCACAACGAGGAATATAAAGCTTCAAAAGAAGAAGAGCAGACAACTGAACAGGCCGACAGACAAGCGTGCAGCAGGAACTAATTACAGCAATGATCAGGAGAGAAAACTTTCATCGGCTGCATCCGCTCCGTCGCTGGTCATGCAAACGCGTCATTCCCAAAACGCCCCGCCCCCCGCTGTTAAACACCCACCCCCACGCGTCCTCATCGCTCTCATTCACCATCCAGATCTTTTACCGCTCCGAATCCACGGGCTCCCAGCAGCCAACGAGCCCACACACACGGAGGACGACAGCGAGAGCAGGAGAACGTGATGTCACGAGATGAAGGCAGGACCACAGTCGGTGTTCCTTGGCTGGCTTTTGGCGGCTGGACGCTACGTCCCAGAGCAAGCTGACTGGGCTGGTTTGGAGCCTTTTGAAGTTGGTTTTGAAGATCAGGCTCCGTTGAGCGGGATGGCTGGCTTTTTATTTATTTATTTTTTGTTTCTTTTTAAGTCGCTACAGGGAGGTGGAGGGCAGCTTCTTGACGCGCCGCTGGGCGAGGAAGGAACTCTCGATGGGTTTGAGCTCCGGAGTGGGCTGGGAGTTCTTCAGGGCGGAGTAGGTGGCCAACATCGCACCCTGAGAACAGTGGAGAGGTTACGACTGTTCGAAATGTGGGAATCAGATCTAAATCTACTGAATTACTACTTGAGAATATTTTTTTTCCAAAACATTGCTCAAATAAATGTAACTGAGTAAATGTAACTAGTTGTTACCCAATTCAATTGGAGGGCATGCATGATTGAATAGAAGTTATTTTTGTATCAAAGAGCCTTGAGGCGACATTTTGCTGTGAATTGGTGCTACATGAATAAACTGAACTTTAAATGCAGGCAAAGCACTGAGTCGTTACCTTGACCAGTTTGGGGTCCTGGTGAGGGAGCTGGCTGTTGGGTAGCTTGTCCCTCTGGACGATCCAGGGGTGTCTGAGGACCTGCTTAGCAGTCAGTCTCTGGTGTGGATCCACATGGAGCATCTTGGACACAAGGTCCTGGACGGTCCAAACAGAATGAGAACGGGCGCCACAGCACCTGAAATATGTGACTAAATGTTTGAGGTGTGAGCTCTACCTTGGCAGCATCAGACACAGTGTCCCAGTTCCCTCCAGCCAGGCTGAAGTGACCACTTCCTATCCTGCTCAGGATCTCGTTAGGCGTGTCCTCCGGCCCGTTGGCAAACGGAGTGAAGCTGGTGGAAGTAAGAAAAAAGGCAGAGTGAGTAAAAAGAGCAGCGAAAGGAGAGAAAAAGACAGACAATGAGAACTCACCCAGCCAGCATGGTGTACAGTAAGACTCCCAGACTCCAGATGTCACATCCTTCATCGTAGCCTTGACGCTTCAACACCTGGAAGCCCACATCATCGCGCATTACAATTTAGATAAATGGCATTTAAAGAGTATCATCTTGAACATGTGATCCGCTCACTTCAGGAGCTACAAAGTTAGCAGTGTAGCACGGGGTCATCAGCAGGCCGTTGTTGGCGCGCAGCTGCTTCGCAAAGCCAAAGTCGCAGATCCTGATGGACTCGGGATTTCCTGATTCATCAACGTAGAGGATGTTGCTGGGCTTCAGGTCTCTGTGCACAACCTGGAAAACAAGAGGACGCAGGAGTGGAGAAAAAAAAGAGAGGATCCAGAAGGCAAGTTACAGAGGTCAACTCAGCAGGATAGTGTCCTCAAATCGATAATTTATTGAAGCGATTTAGATAAAAATAAAACCTGATGTATAGATTTATTACACATTCTAAGCACATGTCTGTTCATTTCTGATTAAGGCTCACATGTAATGAAAACCCAATGCTAATTTTCTCTGTAAATTCAAAGTTTACAAAATAGAAATTTCAGCATAAATGTTACGACCAACACGAGAGCTGACAGTTACTGAGAGCCTCCATGGTGAAGTGGGTGAGCTGAACAAGGTAACATGAGAACTAGATCCAAGCACTTAATAGAAAACTGAGTGAAAGGAAAAAGTTTGGTAGAAAAATTACCGCAGCCTTGAAAGGATGGAGAATCAAACTCCATTTGAGAGTTAAAGAATCTGCATTAAGTAATATTAACATGTTCGTCTTCTTAGATTAATCGAGTGCGTTCACATGTTAACAGTCCTAATTAGGAGATGAATAAAATCCTCTGAAATGAGTTTTGGACTTAAATTACCTTATCGTGCATTTACTCAACAGCTGTTTTTTAGACTGATTACGTCTTTTGGTTGAATTTGAACCCTGACTCGGTGTGACTGGATGAAAAGGCCAGGCTCACCCCCTGGGAGTGGAGGTACTCCACCGTCTTTGTGATGGTGTGAAGCACGGCGCTGGCCTCCCGCTCTGAGAAAAACTTCTGCTTCAGAATCCGATCCAGCAGCTCTCCGCCGCGCATCAGCTCCGTCACCATGAAGACCTGCTTCCCGTTGTCATACACCTGAAACAAAAACAAGGCTTCACACACTGACAAGACCTCCACTTTTAAAAGGAAGTAAGAGCGTCGGGTGTTGATTTAGACCCACATCCTTCAGCGTTATGATGTTGGGGTGCTGTCCATATCGAAGCAGGATCTCTATTTCCTCCGACGGATCTGTGCTGGTCTTGTCAATCACCTGAAGTAAAAGTTTATAGAATAAGATTCATCTTTTAAACAAACGGAAAAACATTTGGATCGCATTCTTCTATTTCAGTCTGGTTTTGATGTGCTTCCTCAGCCGTTAAATGACAGGTTGTTCCTTTTTTTCCTGAATCTATTCATACCTTGACAGCATACTCGGTGTTGGTGGCTTTGTGGATGCAGCGCTTGCAGACGGAGAAGGAGCCCATGCCGATGTCCTCCTTGAGGACGTACCCGTCGCTGAACAGAAGGTTTTTCCCGTGCAGCTGCTGCAGAGAGAGATGAAGCTTGAAGAGTAGCGGAGGAGTGACAGGCTGACAGAGCTGACGAGGGCGGAGGACGTTGACGGATCTGAGGAAGAGGTTTTTTTGTTTTTTTTTTGGTAGCTACTCCAGCTGCTGCTCTGAACCCACTGACTGCTGTTTATTATTATTAGAAATTATCATTTCTGCATCCAAGGGTCTTAAATATTGGTTTTAAAATACTAAAACTACAGTAATTGTTAAACTAATATTTTGGAAATGTATACAATAGGTTTGCAGCAGAGGAATTAAACAACTATGTATAGTTAAAAGCATAATTTTCCTTTAATGTCACAATATTCATTACTTGAAAACAGAGGACTGGGACTAATTTCTATTCATACATAAAATGATTGTCCCACAGAGGGGAAATTTTGCAACTGACTTTATTTTAAGCTTCGTTTCAACACAGAATAAAGGAGAAGTTATGTTAATTTGTTTGCCGACTTCTCGTCAGTAAGCTCATTTCAGAAAATCTACCTTGTCCATACACATTTACGCAACTATTTTTCAATTATTGCAGCAAAAATGTCAGTTAAAGCAAATTAGAGTTTTAGAACAAAGAGATTTTAGAGTTTTTTGTCATTTATTGGTGCATAACAGCACTAAAAACATAAATAGTTTCATGTAATTTTTTTCCCATAGTTAAGCACTCCTGGAAAAGATTAAATAAAAATTAGTCCTCTTCTAAATGCTGGGAGCAATTACACAAAATATTGTGTAAATTATTTCATTTGCTTTAAACTTGTTGTCTTCATCAGTGTTTAAGTAAGAGACAAAGATGAATTAACTTTTAAGGCTGGTAACATCTAAGCAGCCATGTTTAGATTATTTGTCATTTTGTTTCATCATCGTTTCAGTTGCAGAAGTTGGGATTCAGTTCAGGTAAAATATAAAGACGTTTATTTCTGTCATCTCTATCTGGGGCAGAACGGTTCTGCAGGCATGTTGGCATGAAGGAATCTACATTTAGACAAAATATTCACTGTAGCTTTTCACTCGTTCTTATGATTTCTCTCACAATGTTACACAATGCTGAATAAAAACATGTGCTTGTACTGCTGACAGCTGACCTGGACCACTGGGTGTGGCGGCGGCTGCGGCGGCTGTGCTAAGCCTTCCTCCTCCAACAGAGTGGACGCAACAAAGCTGAAGCCTCTGAACAGCTGATGAGCTCCAGCACTGGGCGGCACACCAGGAGAGTCTGGAACATGATATGAAATCCATCAAATAAAACGTACGACTTTACTGGCTGCTGCATCACGCTGTAGCTGCGTTCTGACCTTTGGGTGTGCGGGAAGTGAACTCTGAGTCGAAGTAGAAGGTGTCGTCTGGGCGGGCGACAGCTGGCCTGAACGGAGGCTTTACTTCCCTTCGGAAGAGTTTCTGAGGAGAATTGATATTTTTTGTTACCTCTGATGATTCGAGAACCATTTTTAGAAATCTATGTGCAATTTAAAAGTCCTCAGGAGCACAAACACTCACATTCCAGTCTATAGTGGAGAAGAAGCCGTGTCGCTTTATCTCCTCTGCACCGTCGGCGCCCGAGCCTAAAAGCACAACGGAACATTTTCGCAGCATCAAGCGACTGCAAATACAGATCTAAATAACCCTTTTCTCAAACTGTGTCAGAAATTATGCCTTTGGTGAAAACCATGTTCTTGATCAACTAACCCAGTCTGTTGGCAGGGTTTCTCTTGAACAAAGCCCTGAGCAGAGACTGGGCTTCAGCACTTAGGAACTGAGGCATTCCTAGGCGTGCCCTGCAGGAGAGAAACATACGGAACAGCTTTAATTATTGCACCCTGGGGGGGACTGACAGTATGTGACAACAGGAACTAGTGCACAAGTATTCCTGTCAACTGATTTTACTCACTTCAGGATCAGACTCATCGTTTCTTTGCGGTCCTTCCCTTGAAACGGCAGAGATCCTGTCAGCATCTCAAACTAGCAGAAGAAACTTTCAGTCAGCATACATGATGAAACATTTAGAAAAAAAAAAAAAAACTTAAACAGGTTTTTAATAACCCCAAGAACATTCTTTTCTTTCAGTCTCCTCACCATCAGTACCCCAAACGACCACCAGTCAGCGCTGTGGATGTGGCCCTGCCTGTTGACAACCTCTGGCGCCATGTACTCCACAGTACCACAGAACGAGTAAGCCTTCTTCTCATGATCGATGGCTTCTTTGCACAAGCCGAAATCTGGAGTAAACACAAAACAATTTTTAAAACATTAACATGATGCAAAATGTAGCTGATTAACATCTTCATATCTTCAGAAAGTTTCAATAATTCAAGTCAAAAAGGGAAATGTATAAACATTTCTGACAGCTTTAATTTAGATTCAAATGCATTGTTCCAAACATAAAAAAAGTTTAAAGATATGTTGGCCTACTCAAAGATATGTCTGTGTATATCACTTCTTTGACGATAAGATAAAGTGTAATAATTAACAATGGGAACTGCATGCTGATACGTTTATCACTGTGCTGTGACTGCTGAAGGTCAGTGTGCATTAATTAAATACTGAAAGGTGAAGAAGCAGACAGGAGACTCACCTGTGAGTTTGATATGTCCTTCCTCATCCAGGAGGATACTAAGAGAAACACACACAGGATCCATAATCAAAATGAGACATTCAAAAACTGAGAAGAAAACGACTCCAAGGGAACAAGAAACACACAACTAAACAGCTTGACAATAATTGGTTTGGAAAGTTATATACAGACAGGCCCTGATTTATCAAATATTAATAACGTAGAAAAATGTTTAGTGACATTTCTACTCTTCATCTGGGATTTCTGAGTTGGGTGGTGAGTGTAATGATATGGACAAATCCTATGCCTGCTCTCAGATCATGTATGTGGGTTTATGTCAATGTGGACCAATAATGTAGGAGAGAAAAACATGGCAAAATATTAATTCACACACGCATGCATAAATGTGCCATATAACAGGGATGTGTTCACTGAGGGACATTTTTAATCAGTGATTCTTAGTTTCCTTCAAAGATCAGAGAAGCTGGCGGCATAAATATTCAATAGGCTGCTGGGCAAAGTTAAGTCACAGAAAATATTAAAGCAGCACCATGCTTACTTATTAGACAGGACTGAGAATAATTTAGTCTCAAATAGGAATGCAAGCTCAACTGTACCTTTACCAACCCCATAGAGGGGAATTTAGCCATTACAGCAGAATAAACACAAGCAAAATACAAATAAGATTAAGAAAATAGCTCTATGTAATTAATTTAAGTGTGATTAAAATTAAAGTGAAGAGTCTGATAAAAGAGGAAAGAGTCCATTATGTCTGAAAGGAGTTCTGTAATGTTTGAAAGAATGAGAGTCTTCTTAGGATCTCACTACTAAAAAGAGATGGTTACATGCTTCTATTTCACAGGATGCTATTAAGATATTGCACAACATTTGCATAACCACTATTTGTGAGAAGAACTGCATCTCTGGCGCTTTTTATTGTTAATCTTCTGTTGTGATGTAATCACTTAAAAATTTAAGACAAATGCGTCTTATTATAATTTTCCATCCATCCGTTTCCCACATTCTGTGTGGGAAGTCCCTGAAACTGGATAAAAAGAGCTGCAGTCTACAAACAATGATTGTTAGCCACTCAATTGTCTGTAAATCATTAAGATTGTATTAGGATCTCTCCAAAAGTTACATAATTTCTCCTGGGTGTCCAGATGCATCAAATTACAAAGTTGAAAGGAATAAAAAACCTCAGAAAGTAATAAGATTAGTTCTGGTTTGACAAAAATACCAAAAATTCAAAGCTGCATCAATGTTTATATACTTCAATTTTCTAGAAAAGTATGACAATAATAAAAGTGAATGACATTTTTATTAGTGTGGATGTTTTGCAGAGAGTTTCTGCTTTTTTCAGATGTTGCACTTACTTTTCAGGTTTGAGGTCTCTGTAAATGATGCCTAGGCTGTGAAGGTGGTCCAGGCCTAAAGCAAGCTCTGCTAGATAAAACTTCACATCCTCTTCTGTGAACATCACCTGGCAGGCATGAGACAGGAAGAATGTCACAAGAGAGAAACAGTAAAAGGAAATGCTCAAAACTTATCAGCTGGATTCGATAAATAACTCATGATTGAATAAAATCCCCTTTAGAAATAATTCTCAAGTTTCTCTCACCTCTTTAGAGAGTCTGGTGAAAAGATCTCCGCCTCGGAGGAAATCCAAGATCAAATACAACTTCCCTTCAGTCTGGAATGCTACAAAAGAAACCATTTTGTGGAAGATAAACAAAAGTTACGGCTGCAGCTACAGTTCTATGAGTCCCGGATGACCAACGGAGGCTGTGCTTCAAGCAATGCACGATCCTTATTGCGCATGTGCAGGTCGAGTGTTAATCACAACAAAAAGTCACCTTTGACCTTCCGGTGACCAACATGGCTCTACCGCCAGCAGGACCTTCAGGTATCCAGCAGGGGTCACACAGTGTATACTGTGTGATCCTGGCTATTTGAGGGTTAAATATTTATAAATACACTCAGATAGTGGTGAGGAGGTGGTAGAAATAGTTGTTTTACACTCTGACATAATTTACAGGCCTGTACAGTAAGGTCACGGATTATTATGGCCATCAAAATCTGTGACCAGTGTGATCCTGGTTATTTGAGGGTTAAATATCGTTATAAAACTGTAATGAAGAGGTGGAAGAAACATTAAAAATCGTGTAAAAAAACTACCAGAACACTTAGAATCATTTCCTAATCATTTAACGATTTATTAAACAGCCATAGTTGGTTTACATATTTTAATGACAGCACACAGGCATTCAGTGCGATGGTCAGTCTAACAGTTTACAGAGCCAAATATGAAGTTATACATTATATTTTCCCTGTCAGTGCGATGATAATAAAGGAGCTGTGAAGTTTACAATCCCTGCTGTATCAGTATTTACACAGTTTATGTAAATACTCTTCTTCTTGCTGATCTGACGTACCTGCGCTCTATCGCCCTCTGCAGTCACAGAAAATTATGGGTCACAGATTTTGATGCAAAATCTACGCTTCAGCCGGTTGTCAGCGAAGTCTGTGCAGCCCCTGGAGGGCGAGACTTACCCACAGCTCCGAGGCGGGTCAGTCGGTGCCTCCGACCATACGCGTTCAAGAGGCTACTAGCAACAAGTAGACAGGACAACAGTGGTAAACTCAGAAGCTACCAGCTTCGTACAACCACACCTGCACTCAACACACCTGCCCGCGAGAAGAACAAAGGTTGAACGTGGGTGTCGTATGGCTACATAGAGTCATGAACAGGTCACAGGTGACTCTGTGATTAACACTCCACCTGCTCAAGAATGATCACTCAGCGCTTGAAGCACCGCCTTTAGAGGTCAGCAATAAAATAGAGCTATATTTTTCAGACTAGAGAAAAATGATAATCAGTTTTATAACATCAAGGTTCAACAGTTACAGTGACTTTGGTTTGGCTCACCGTAGTGCAGCTTGACAACAAATGGGTGGTTGACATCTGCTAGGATGTCCCTCTCCATCTTGGTCCTCACACGGTCTCTAACTGAAAGGAAGGAAGAGGAGTTCAGTGCATTTATTCATCGTTTTAATACTTGATGTAGGAATTGAAAGACTAATAATCAATAAACCGATTTGAAAGAGAAGACGTTTAACTAATACTGTGTTCATTACAATGTAAGCATTTAATATATACTGAAATTCAACACAACTGAAGTGCGAGTTAACTACAGCTGTATTATGGTTGCATAATAAGAGAGGCTCTTCAGCTCCTCTGTGTTTTTGAATGGAAACATTTAGCTCCAATCTGCAGCTTCACCACCAGGTTTCACTGTTTGCTTCACACCACTCTTTGCCTAACCAAATTCAAAACTTGTTGGATTTTTATGTGTGTAATTGATTGTATTTTCTCAGATCTATTTTTTCTGGATAACTACACTGCACATATTTATATTTATGTATGATTAACCTTATGAATTATAAATGTGTTTACATTATGAGCAAATTGTTTCTAAAAAACCCCAACACATTATTCTTGTTTTTAGCAATTATTTGGGGGAATTCCAAAGTGGCATAAAACAGGAAACATTTAGTTTGATTTAATCTCAGAGTTCAAAAATATTTAGTTCCAACTATTATTAATCAGTATTTCTGCCTTTACCCAGAAAGAAAATTTACTGAAATTTGTAAAATTCACGAAAACAAGTTTTTCTTTTTCATTTTTTGGAGACTGTGAGAACCATCTGCTTCGCCTGTTGTTTATACAACTGATGAGACCACACCACCTGTGAAAAACCCACAGAAAGTTTATGTGGGAGGGGCGGGGCGGTGGTGGTCTTTGCTCCGTCACTAGTATGTAGCTGGCTTTGACTAACAGGAAAAGTAGATAACCTCTTACAAGAAAATGTGGCAAAAACCCACAACAACAATAAAAAAGACATTCCACTGAACCCATGTGAAACCTTTTCCCGTAGCTTGGGAAAGTACAGCTCTGAATGATCAAACTCTAAAATAGAAACATTTGTACCTTTAAGAGTTGCCTTCTTTAGGACCTTCATGGCATACAGCTGGTTGGCATCTGGAGGGGTCACCTTTCGCACAAGGAACACCTAAAAACACCAAGATGTCAGACGTTAAATGTTACTTCTAACATTTAAAGCTAAGAAAGGGGCAAGCAGTCATTACCTTGCCAAAGGATCCCTGTCCCAAAACCTTAAGCAGCTCAAACTGAGAGGCGTCAGCTTTCTCCGAGCCCTCTTTGACCACATGGGTGATGTTGATCTCCTTGATGTCTCCATCTTCCTAAAGAGAGAAAAGCCCAAGAGTATAAAAAAAAATCCAGTCTGCAGCAGCATTTCAACCAAACTGTAGCGATGTGCAGAAAAATGTGAGGGATGAGTTGATGTTTCCACATAAGTTTGTCTCTTGGTGTAAGTAGAACTACATCAAAATAACACTCCTCAGAAAGAGGAAGCGGCATTAAACAGAAACGTGCGTGTCAGTGTGACAGATTACACCCGGCAGCTTCTCATCACTCTGATGCCGTCTTTCTGGAAAGCATGGTGGCTGCGATGCTAAATGGAAGTACACAGCTGATTACAAAACGGGAACAGTTGAGGTGTCATTTGTTTTTCTGACAAGCTGCTTAACCTCAGCTTCAACCTCTCGATCAAAGACTTTTGGAGGCAGGTCTGACAGGGTGGAGGGCCGCTGACTAAACACCAGCAGAAAGTCACCAGAGCATCAAAAGCAAAACATGTTTTTATCTTTGTTTCTCAGCAAGCAAACCGTTTCGCTTTTAGGTAGATCTACATCAGATCTACAAAAAGGAAATTTACCTTCTAAAACTATTTATTTCAACAATTCAATTTAAGATATCAAATTTATATTCACTACTAAGAGCAAATGAACAACTTACAATACTGAAATGTTATGCTATGGACTTCACAAACTGACACTTGTCCAGAAGACTTCACACAAGTAGAATAAGCCACAGAAAGTACATTTTCAAGAAGTTGGTGTGTTTTCAGAGGGCCTTGTCCAGGCATAGTAATGGGAAGCGAAGTGAGAGACGTAGCAGAAAAAGATGCAAAATCAGTAGAAAAGTCCGTAGCCTGGAGAGGACAGTGACACAAAGTTCATTCAAAAGTTTGAGAGATTCACAAGGAACAGAATCAGAGTTTTATCAAAGCCAAAGTTTCTGGACCAACAAGGTGTTTTATAGCATTTCATGTTTCCTTCAGCTGATGAGCATTATGGGGAGGCTGATGTTTTCCAGCAGGAAAATAAACATGCCACGCCCCACTGATGATGTAACTCATGCAAAAGGAGCCACAACCAATTACTGAGTGCATTAACTGCATAGTGCATAGTCAAAGTTTTTTTTTCTTTTCTGAAAAAGACCATTTTTATGTTTAAATTTATCTTTGTCTTTATATTAATGTAAAGTTTGAATCTTCTGAGACACTTGATTTTTCATTGACAGAATCACCAAAACTAATGGAAATAAACCTTTAAAATGCATCACTGTGTGTGGGTGTGTGTGTGTGTGTAGGTGTGTGTGCGTGCGTGTGTGTAAGGAGTCTAAAAAATAGATTTGAATTGCATTGCTAACATTTTCATGATATCGTCATTTGTTAAATACAACTATAGGCTTTGAACACAAGATTAAAAAACAAGCCTAATTATTGCCTGCAAATGGAAGTGGAGCGTTAATATTAATACTGGTTAGTAATTAGTGGAAGTGGAAGAACTTCCTGTTGAAATGAACAGAGTAATTAACAGGGTTACAGCTGGCATGACTTTATGAAGATCACATGAAGCTTTCTGGCTAAATTAGGAACAGCTTTAAAAAGATTAAACCTTTTATATAATTGTCAATTAACTCAAGTATAAAAAGACAAATCAATACCCTTTTCAGGTTAACCAATCAATTATCAAGCATGTATTTAAGATGAAAACATCTGACAGCTAGCGACCACTGCAGCCTGGAAATGTATTTGACAACAGGAAACCAGAATGGGTTGAACACCAAGGCGTTTCACCTCGTTTCTGATCTGATAACAGCAAACACGTATGCAACTCTGCAAAAACACTAAATCCAATTTCTCCAAACAAAAACTTTACGAAGAGGCCATGACTTTACCGTCCACTCGTTCCTGGGTTCAGGTGGGAGGTCAGTGGCAGCGCTGCCGCCTGCTGCAGCTGTGGATCTGTAGCTGCTGCAGTGAGCAGGGCTGCCGGTCAGGGACTTGTTCTTTCTGAACGGGTAAAGGGTCAGCATGCGGCTCAGCTTGAACTTTCTCTTCTCCTTTTCCATCTCAGCATTTTCTAAGCTGTTGTGTAATCCTTCACTCATCCATAACACAAAAACCACTGCACTAACTCACACAGCCCATCTCAAACTTCTCAGAGGACAAGCACACTTCAAACTCCTGTGTGTACTCATGTTAGGGGTTACACTGCGGGCTGCAGGTAAAAAAAAAAAAAAAAAGCACTCTCCCCGCCTTCAGCCTTTATCTACTTTCCTGTAGCAGGGGTGTCCTGCTATGATGTTTAAAAATGCTGCTTCTTCTTTTTCTCTCCCATCATATCTCCTGTTGTGCCTCTCTGTCTGATTAGCGTTGTGTTCTCACAACTGAAGTGAAAGGCAACTAAACAGAGCAGGAAGGAAGAAGCCTGCAGTTATTCTCACAGTCCTGCACCCAACTTGTGGAACGCAAACATCTGTGTCAGAGAGAGAGAGAGAGAGCGAAAAATGCACGAGGTGTAGATCTCACCACAAAGACAATGATAGAGGCGAAAAATGACAGAAGTACAAATACTAAAAAAAGTAAGCGAAATGTCTGCAAATCAGATGGGCTAAATTTAATTTGAAATGTTTATTGATGACTTCCTATTTAAAAGGTGCATTTTTGTCCTTCCCCACAATTCAACACAGCAGAAGTAGGAGGCGGCAGACAGAGGGTGATGTGAGCTCATAGTCTGCCTCCATTTCTGCACAGCCAGTCACTTAAAAACAGGTTTTATCAAACATGAAGTCTTCTTACACTCCCGCTCCTCCCTAACCTGCTTTATTCATTGCTTCTAATATAGATGCATCTCAGTTAATTAGAAATTTAATTTGTTTCATTAATTGAATGAGAGAAAAAAAAAACTTATTATGTAGATTTACTACACTGACATATTTTAACTGTTAATTTCTGTTTATGATGATTACAGCTGTGGGTAATAACTAATTGCATTTACTGTTTCATTTACTTGAGTGACATTTTGAAAGAAACCTTTAGTATTTTTTATAACACTATACTTTTTACTTTTCTTGAGTAAAATTATAATGAAGTATTGCTACTCTGACTTGAGTAACAAGAAGTCTGTACTCTACACACAGTGACAAACTTTATAAAATGAAGAAAAAACATGTGAATCAAAAATGCACCATCTACAGACGTAGGCCTACATAAAGCCTGGTGAAATGTTCATTTTTGCTTTTAATTGTTGCAAAACGGAAACAATAACTTTTTCTAACTAACTCATTGGCCTTGATCTGGGTAATTATCTATAAACATAATTCAGAAAACATTTAGATTGTTTTTCAGTTACACTGAACCCTACTGGTTAGATTTGAGGTATGGTGTGAACTACGTTTTGATTAAGGTTTACTTATATATTGAATAGAATTTTTTATTTCTTTTTAGGTTATGTGTTTTTGTCATATAGAAAACATGAAACAGTACTACTTTTTTCTTCAAATACTTCTTTAAAGGCCAAAAGGCAACAATCGACCATATATGCTGTTTATTTGAATGCTGACAAAGAGAACAGAACGTCATTTCAATATTTAAATGTGAAAAGATTTTTTTGTTGTTGAATTTCAAACAACAGAACACAGCAGGTCCACCAGAACCACAAACATTGGCTGAGAAACCAAAATATGAACCATTTAACAAGGTTTACACAAGCTTTGCTGCTCTGATGCTAGGTGTAACATGTTTGAGCAGCAGCTCAACAGGAAGGCTCAACAGGAAGGCCAGCTCTGTGCCGTTATCACCCCTCGACCCAACGCAGGTGGTGGATGACATCAGTGTTGGACAAAGTGTCCTACTCCATGCATGGAACTCTGAGCTCCTTCAGTGATAGACTGCTGCATCCTCAGTGAACAAAGGAGCGTTAAAGGAGATCCTTCCTCAAACAACCATCACTCTTCCCAAACTATGTTTACATCCCTGCTGGTATTTGTGGTTTTTACTCATTTTAAATAATATTTCTGCTGGTATTGCACATTTCTGTTCACACAGTTTTTAATTTTCATATATTGTAAACAGAAATCAGGGCCTGCTGATATATGTACTAAATATATATGTATACTTATATTTTAGTACAAGAGACGCTCTTAACTGATAAGGTATCATTTTGCATATTACTGCACCCATGTGGTGTGGAGGTGATCAACCTGTGGTTCTGTTGAGGTGTTCAAGAAGCCCAGGTTGCCTGCATCGTTCAGTTTCTGCATTGTTGGTTCTGGCTCAGTCATGCACAGTGACACCATTATAGCAGGTACTGGTCACTTCTCCTCATTGGATCTCAAGCATATGCATGAATAAAGCATTCTGAACAGTTTCTTTATCAATAACCTTCTCCAGGCTATGTGACAGCATAAACCATAATATGACATTTCTACCTTAATTCTATAATGATACAGTTTTCGAAGAAACAAATTTTCTGTAAGCCGTTTCATCAAAACGAACAGCAAAACACTGGAGATATATCAATATACGGTGTAATAATTTCATAGAATAAACCTCTAAAACTTAATCACTCAATAAACTTTTTAATAAGTTAACTTTTCCTGAATTTCCATTTCTTTTCTATTCTATATTCTTTTCATTTTCAATGCATGTTTTTTTTTTTTAAACCTTTTAACCAGTAAACTTCCGATCAAATGTTCTGACTTTCCCATAACCACTGAGCTTTTAGGAAAAATGTTTAAAGAGGCACCATTTCTTGTATATTTTTTAGTTCTTTTTGTAAACCATTCCTGACATTTGGCCCATTTTTCCCCCCACAGACTTTAGGTACCGACACCATAGGACCAAAGACTAGAACTACCTGAGTTTTCTAATGAATGCAGGTTTTAAATATGTAGGTAGACAGCATCAAATAGCAATATAGATTAAAATACACCTGTGTTTCAGTCAGAGTGCATGTCTGAACATCCAGCTAAAGAACATGACAGTGGCGAATCATGAAGGGTTTAAGAAGAAGCTCAGTAGCAACATGTCTCTGTGTGGACTTGAACAACA